ATTCAACCAAGAAACCAAAGCGCGGTGGTGCTCGACCTAGAAAGTCCAAGGAACAGAAGCAGGCGGAGAAGGATTCGGCAGCAGCCGCTCAAGAGGCAATCGATAAAGGTGAATCACCAGCACTCATGCCGATTAGGGATGCGACAGAGTTTAAAGACATGAAGCCACTTCCATCGAAAGAAGGAGGCACAAAGATTAAGCTCAAGTTAAAGGCACCAGCAGAACCGGTAGAAGTCAAGGAAGAATCTCCCCCTGTTCCTGTTGACCAACATAATACGAAAATGTTTCACGTTGTCTATGATCAAATCTGGAAAGATCTCGCCCGAAAAGAGGTTCCCAAGGTTTTCAAATTGGCTATGGATTCTTACTCTATTCGAGGATCGAATTTGAAGAAGACTGCAATTCTAGCCTCAAAGGAAGCCAAACGATGGCAACTACGAACAAACAAGGGCACCAAGGATCTTCAAGCCCGCGCCAAACGTGTCATGCGAGAGATGATGTCTTTCTGGAAACGTAACGAACGTGAGGAACGCGATACTCGAAGAGCCGCCGAGAGACAGGAGATTGAGAGTGCCAAGAAAGCCGAAGCCGATCGTGAAGCGAATAGACAAAAGAGGAAGCTCAACTTCCTTATTTCACAGACTGAACTTTACTCCCATTTCATCGGCAAGAAAATCAAGACGGACGAGGTTGAGAGGTCCACCGATCACCCTGATGTTGCGGCACCGGCCGAGCCAAATCATTCGAAAACAGATGATATTGATCTACCTGAAGGTTCTGCTCCTGCAAAGGTCACGAATTTTGAAGATCTTGACTTTGATGCTGAGGATGAATCTGTATTGAAAGCTGCAGCTATGGCAAATGCTCAAAATGCTATTCAAGAAGCTCAGAATAAGGCCAGAGCGTTCAATAAACAAGATGATGCGCCTGCTATGGATAATGATGGGGAGATGAACTTCCAAAATCCTGCCGGTATGGGAGATGTCGATATTGAACAACCTAAAATGCTTCAAGCTCAACTCAAAGAATATCAACTTAAGGGTCTCAATTGGCTTGTCAATCTTTACGAACAAGGAATCAATGGCATCTTGGCCGATGAGATGGGTCTTGGTAAGACTGTTCAATCTATTTCGGTCATGGCCTACTTGGCGGAGAAACATGGTATCTGGGGTCCGTTCTTAGTCGTTGCTCCTGCATCAACACTTCACAATTGGCAACAAGAAATTACCAAATTCGTTCCAAAGTTGAAGGTGTTACCTTACTGGGGTACAGCAGCTGATCGAAAAGTCCTTCGAAAATTCTGGGATCGCAAGCATATCACTTATACCGAGGAAGCTCCTTTCCATGTCCTCATTACATCCTATCAGCTTGTTGTCTCGGATGTCGCTTATTTCCAAAAGATGAAGTGGCAATACATGATCTTGGATGAGGCTCAAGCTATTAAGAGTTCACAAAGTTCTAGATGGAAGAGTCTACTTGGCTTCCATTGCAGAAATCGTCTTCTGTTGACCGGTACACCAATCCAAAACAATATGCAAGAACTTTGGGCTCTGTTGCATTTCATCATGCCTAGTTTGTTCGATTCTCATGACGAGTTTAGTGAATGGTTTTCTAAGGATATCGAAAGTCACGCTCAAAGTAACACCAAACTGAACGAGGATCAACTTAAACGTTTGCACATGATCTTGAAGCCTTTTATGCTTCGTCGTGTTAAGAAGCATGTACAAAAGGAATTGGGTGATAAGATTGAAGAAGATATCTTCTGTGATCTTACTTATCGTCAAAGAGCATACTACAGCAACCTTCGAAATCAAATCAGTATCATGGATCTCATCGAGAAGGCAACAATTGGAGATGATAATGATACTGGTACTTTGATGAATTTGGTAATGCAATTCCGAAAGGTTTGTAATCATCCTGATCTTTTCGAGCGTGCCGAAACTACTTCGCCTTTATCGTTTAGTTACTTTGCCGAGGCCGGTTCATTCTTGAGAGAAGGTCCTAATATTACCATGGCTTACTCGGCACGTAATTTGATTCAGTACTCTCTACCTCGATTAATCTGGCGTGAAGGCGGACGACTTGACTTGCCTGGACAAGAGAATGAAGGTGCCGGTGTCAAGGCCAAATGTTTGGAAACACTTTTCAATGTTTGGAAGCCTGAGAACATCGTTGACAGTTCCAAAGAAGATGGCGCATTTTCATGGCTTCGTTTTGCAAATACCTCAGTTCAAGAGGCCTCTACAGCTTCGAGTAAAGATGTGTTTGCTCGTGCTGTGGATATTGTAAAGAAGCCACAAAGTCTTGGTAGGCTTAGCATTATCTACGATGAAGAGGAAGACAAGAACTACACCCCAGTTCATGCTATGCTTCAAATCGTCGAGAGAAAAGATCGTAAGCCTCTTGCTGAAGTCACAAATGAGGGATACCTCAACAAACTCTTCAATGTGGCTAAGAATGTTTGGGATGAATCTGGTATAAGCCGAATGGAACAGTGTGGTCGACCAAGTGCAACCGCTCCTCCTATTGAAGTCGATTGTTCTAGTCGAGGTGCCGTCCTCGAGAGACAAAAGATTTTGTTCAATGTTTCCATGAGACGTGCCTTATTTGGTCCTTCACCTGTTGAAGAAAAGGCATTTATCGCCTCTAAGGTTTCACCATCGTTCTATCCGCCCACGCCAATGTTACCAGCACCTACCTCCGAAAAACAACGCTTCACCAATATCAAAGTACCATCAATGCGTCGCTTTGTTACTGATTCTGGTAAACTTGCTAAGCTTGATGCTTTACTCACCAAACTCAAGGAAGGTGGTCATCGTGTTCTTTTGTATTTCCAAATGACACGTATGATTGATCTCATGGAAGAGTATTTAACATATCGCAATTACAAATACCTTCGTCTTGATGGTTCTACCAAACTTGAGGATCGAAGAGATACTGTTCATGATTTCCAAACTCGACCAGAAATTTTCATCTTCTTGTTAAGTACAAGAGCTGGTGGTTTGGGTATTAATCTTACAAGTGCTGATACAGTCATCTTTTATGATTCTGATTGGAATCCTACAATTGATAGTCAAGCTATGGATCGTGCTCATCGTTTGGGTCAAACGAGACAAGTTACTGTTTATCGTATGATTACTCGTGGTACTATTGAAGAACGCATTCGTAAGAGAGCACTTCAAAAGGAAGAGGTTCAAAAGGTTGTTATGACTGGTGGTGCTGGTGGTGGTGTAGACTTCAACGCCAGAAGTAAAGAAAATAGAACCAAGGATATTGCCATGTGGTTGGTGGATGATGAAGAAGCTGCGGAAATTGAGAGGAAGGCAGCTGAACAGGCAAGATATGAAGCTGAGAACCCTAACCTAAATAAGAAGGGTAAGAGTAAAGGAAAGAAGGCCAAGGAGGGTGCTGGCAGTTTGGAGGATCTTTATCATGAGGGTGAGTTTCGATTCCATATTTAGATTTGCATAGCATGGTTTACTTTCATTCTTGGGAAGGAGGATGAGATGAGGACCATGAGATGGCTATGAGAATTTTTACTAACTATGGCGAATAGGCGAAGGACATTTTGATGATGGATCTAATAGACCTAGTGGTACTGCAACACCAATTGCAGGTGATTCTAGTACCAAAAAGGGATCGAGTAGAAAGACTGCTAGCGGTGGGAGAAGTAAAAAGGCAAAGACAGCTAAAGAGAGGTTGGCTATGGCAGATGGAGATGTGGATATGGCATAGAAGTATGAGGATATAAGGGGATATGGGTATTATGAAGGGATAATGGGTGGAAATGGGTGGATTGATATGGATTGTACGATTGCTTGGTAATATTATGATGGGGATTTGCAAATGGAAAGTCATCATTGGAGAATAAATGGGCAAAGGAGTGGAGAGGAAAAGTAAAGAGATTTTAAGACAACTTGAGACTATTCAGAGTTCAATCGCAGATCAAATTTAAAGGAGAAGCATGGAAGCATGGATGGATGGATGGGCATGAGCTTGGCTTGGCTTAGTTTGGCTTGCTTGAGCTATCTATCTATGATTGAGATGGGAAGATGTCATTTGTATTATACTTATTTATATTATTTTGCTTTAGTGACTGACTTTACTTCACTTGACTTCTTGTCTTGGTGGCGAAGATTCCGAAGTCATGATGATCTAGAATGGATGTGGATGTGGTTATTTCTAATTCACTGTTTTTTTTGGGGGGTTTTTTTATAGGATTTTTTTTTTTATGACTGCATTGAAGTCTTGATCAGCGGAAATGAGAACTTCGGATAGATGGGGAGGATATAGGAGATGCAGGAATAGATAGATACGAAAGTAATCTTGATGGATGAAGATTTGGATAGGATGGATAGGGTGGATGGGTGGATGATTGGATCGCTTGTTCGGATATATGCATACATACATACATATCCAATGCATATACAGGTATGCAACATACAATATGCAATGCAACATACAATATGCAATGCAACATACAATATGCAATGCAACATACAATATGCACTGCAATTGCAATAGGCAATTGCAATACTCGAGTACGTTTCTTTTTTTTTTTTTTTTACTATTTGCTACTGCGCGAGCTGCGATGCTGGCGCTGCTGGCGATCTGTTGTTGATAGATAGATGGATACGTAGCGAAGCTTGCGAAGTTTGCGAAGTTTGGGAAGTTTTTGAAAGGGATGGATGGTCGTGGGATGTACTAAACTGAACTGATAGCTCGCTGCATGCATTTTCTTTCTGAAAGAGGAAATTGGGAAGTTGGGAAGTTGGGATGTGTAGAGGGGATCGCTTGAAGAGAAGATCTTTCACTATTTAACGATAGTTACTTGTGAGAAAACTTGTGAGTAAAGTTTACTTGTGTGTGTGTGTGTGTTTTCTCCAATTGGGTGAGATTTATTACGCCTCTTTGCTTCTTACCCCTCTTTTTTTCTTCTTCTTCGTTTCTGCGGAATGATGCTTGTTTGCGTATAAGATGCGGAGATCCTACAGTTTCTTGTTTACTGTATTGTGTTGTATGTATGAATACAAGAAGGTGAAGAGTTTGACGTTTCTCTCTTTTTTTCTTTTCCTTCTTTTCTCTTTCTCTTTCTCTTTTTTATATATATTCAATTTCTGCGGTATATTGTCGAGTCGTTTTTTATTTTCTGACTTTGTGTTTGCTTGTTTGTTTTTCGTGAAGATATATACATCGATATATACATATATATTTATATATAATGCCGACCCCAAATACCATCAGTGCCGATGTGGCACCAAAATTCTACGATAGTATTAGTGAGAAATATGAGAAGTATTATCCGCAAGATCAGGGATTGTTGGATTTTATTAAGGAGAGTTTGGAGTTGCTGCCGGGGGATGCGAAGGTAAGAGATTGGGTGGTTTCTTTTCTTGTATTGTGCATGTGTGCATGCAATTCTTAAATGGGGAGATGATTGATGCAAAGAGAGAGAGATAGTTTTATTCGCTTTCTCAAAGAAGTTGGATAACGATTCACTACACCTCCCTCGTGAAAATCACACCGAGGATTTCAAGTTTCCCTCTCTAACCCTATTGCAAATTGACTAACCTCCTCCCTCCACAGGTCCTAGACATCGGATGCGGAACCGGCATTCCCACCTCTCTCGCCGTCACCAACTCCGGTCGCACACTCCACGGTATCGATATCTCACCCAAGATGCTCGAGCGCTCGCGCCACAATGTTCCGCGGGGAACCTTCGACCTCGTGAGTATGTTGGACTTTACACCGAGAGAGGGTGTGCAATACGATGGCATGTTTATTGTTCTGTCCATGTTTCATTTTACGAGAGAGGAGATGGAGAAAGCGATTGCGAGGTGGAGGGATTGGGTGAAGGGGGACGGGGAGGGGTATATCTTTATTGGGACCATTGCGGCGGAGGATGCGCTGAGGTTTGAGGAGGGGATGCTTTCGGATGATAAGGTGGCTATTTCTTTCTCCCCTTCTTTCTTGGCTATCGACATTAGCAGTAATAGCAATACTGATTATGCAATTACCGCGCTAGCGCTACGCGGAAAATGTCCCGGGAAAATTCATGGGGGACGTGAATACGAATTTCCTGTACACTCAATTGGGGTGGCAGGATGTGTTGGCGGAGAACGGATTTGAGATTGTGAGGGAGAAGAAGGCGGTTTTTGAACCGGTGGAAGAGGCGGAGTGTGATAGGGAAGTACATCTTTTTATTACGGCGAGGAGGGTGTAGAGGTGGGGATGAGGAGTAGGAATGGGATGTGAAAGCATGACATTTCTCGGAGAAATGAATGATAGGGATGATGGGATGGTGGGTGGGTGCTAGCGTTGTGGAAAGCGTATACTCAAATACAGATTGCGTCAACTAGGCTGCTCTTATATCCTTCAGATATCTTGGGGGCTAGATTTACGACAAGTCGCTACGATTCTTCACATTCCCTCAACATCAAGACGCCGAGTTTTCAACACAGTTTCTTCATTAATGTGAGAGAAGTAATTCCTTAATTTGATAAGAGACTTTCCAAAGACGAAACACTTCCTCGTAAAATCATCCTTTGCCACCCCAGAACCAGCAAGCTGGAATTCCCCTCTCATGAATTTTTAGTAAACAGTCGCGCCATGATCATGCTGCCACCATTTTTTCTTAGAATACTATGGGTATACATTTCTCACCATCTTCTCTTCCCTTTCGCAGAGGGAAACGCAAATCGGGGTTCAGTGATGTGGCGACTCGGTAGATGTTGTGTATATTCCTTGCTTGTCTCTCCGCCGTTTTGGTTTATGGAGTCTTGTTTTTTTCTCGAACTTTAGAGGTTAGAGTTAATTGGGTTTATCGGTTGCGAGTCCGAACTCCACATCCACATGTATTTTCCAGGAGGGTGGGCGTCCGCATCTTCCTGTATATTTAGAGGAGCGCCCACCCCTTATATGTAAGCTTGGTCATGGTATTTGAACTCTATAGTCTGCTATTAGTAAACATGCGTAAATTTGTAGCGAAGGACGCTTGTTGACATGGTGGGAAAAGAAGGATATAGTGAGTACCTACGATGTAGTATGGGTATCCATCTTTCAATCTCTTCGATCCCAGAGGGAAACTCGAATTGGGTTTTGTGATGTGATCGACTCGGTAGATGGTGTGTAGAAATCGGAATGATGGTGCCTTGAAGCGGGGAGGGTCGGAACACTATGCGCATGGTGAGATATTTCAGGGAACCACTTGCTCTGCTTTTGTAAGCAAAAGGTTAAGTTGATCGGATTTTTGATGGAGCTGCTGGTGGTTTACATACCTTGGCTGTCAAAACTTCTATTTCGGGCAGATGGATGTCCGTTTACGAATCAGAAGGCCCTGGGGCCGCCATTTTTGATTGTGGTGGCTTTTCAGGGTATCCGCTAGTACCGTGCTCGGAACAGTCACCGTCTTGGTTAAACTCCAGGTATCTTTTTGCGTATAATTCCTTGTCGATACAATCTATTTCATATGCATAAGTAAACGGGACAAGAAGATATGCTTGATGCGACTTGCCCCGAAGAGATAATCTCCCATTGTGCGAGAAATCTGGCGAGGTAAGTGATTTTGGTATCGATCTATTGATCTGCAACAAACATATCAGCAACGATAAATAATAGGTATTTGCAAAAGTCTTGAAGGAATTATAAGAAACAATTACCGTTAATCCACCTATCCAAGAATAATCATTGTGGATCACCATCTTTTGCAGATTTTCGCTTCGAAGTAAAGCCGTTGTTTCTCCGAAATAGGAGAGAGTAGTTAGAGAAAGTTTGGAAAATTGGGTCTGGGGATTAAGGAAGAGATAAAGATAGTTTTTAAACACTAGTCGGAATTTTAATCACGCTATTAGTGAGATTAGGGCTTTGTCTAGTAGGAGGAAACGAGTCGCCTCCAATCAAGAAACAGGGCTGGAGTGAATGAACTAGGGGAAAATGAGACGCGCGGATGTGATGTGACATGGGTAGTGGCACGTGTAGCTAGATTCCACTTTTGCTTCTCTTGTTTTTTAAAAGAATTACCTATCTCATCTTATCAAACTTTCCAAGGGATCTTCGTCCTGCGAGCATCTTATTCCATCTCATTCTCATCACGAGAGTACCTTGAGCTGACACATCTTCCCAAGCCCCCCCTATTTCTCACTCTCCCGAAAATTCACACGTGAGCATAATTTCACATTCTTCGATCTTGCTGCTGTTTTCCATGAGAATTTGTATTATCACGTCTCTGTTAGAGCTTTTAGATCAAGTAGGTTATTCAACCTTTTTGGCATCGTACCGATGGTGATTATTCACCATAGCAACTTGGTCACATTTATCTAATCATTGCTGAAAACAACATTTACTCGCCGCTATTTCAAGTGAAAATTCAGGAACATTCGAAGTGATTTGTCACCTCTTTGTTGTAGTACGCAAACGACGAGAAACTGAGTCATATGTCGCTTGTTTTCTTTTTTCAAAATCTCTTCATCATCAGACTCGACTCATCAAACACATCAGTAAATCAAGATTTGTCTCTCATCTTCCACACCCGCTATTCCCGATGTGACGGAAGATTCGTGAAATGTACCTGCTGCTATTTGCGTCGATGAGGCGTAGCTGACTCGCGTTTTCCCATTTGCGGATGGTGGGTTGTCATAACCAGAGGTTGATAAGTGTGTAAGCCACTGCGATACGTTGAAGAACGCCCCTCCAGGCTGCTATCAGTCGCGGGAAATCATAGTATGTACTCGCAAATACCATTTTTAAACATTTGCAACCCTTGGAACTAACGGGATTGACAGGATAAACAATTTCATCGAGATTCTTACGCTGTTTTTACAAAACTCTTCATATCAACAAGGAAGGGATCACAAATTCTTCTGCTGCCATTTTCTTTTCGAGACGAAGAGCTACATGACAAGTCTGCCCTGACCGAGCAAGGCGTTGCCCGCTCTCTGATTACCATAATTGATTCTATCAAACTTCAGCGAGATGTCTTACAGTGCACGAGCACGGCAATGATAGATAGGTCTACCTGAGGCCTCATTAGCCTTCAGATGGAAATGTAGCCGGCCTACGATTGCGTCTCGTTGCTGCGGGATCAATCTGAATGGCCACTGAAGCTCTCAATCATGAAGAAGAAATTTTTCCCACAATTTCTCCGCCGTGCATCACCCCGCTTCAAGAATCCCGTTCTTTGCCTGCTCGTTGCTACCAAAAGCAGAGAATCTGCTGAACCGACGAAACATTGAGTTTACAAAACCATGCGAGTCCATGAGAGCCTTACCTCAATTCATACAAAACTACCTTCCGCCTACCATACTGCCAATCCTATACCAGATCCTCTCGCTATGACGCAGACGGCTGAGAGCCTTCCACTCTGTGCAAGGTCTGCGATGTTACTATACACCTCAAGACTTCCATCTTGTGGCGGAAATCTCACGACGATATCCAAATCCCCTAGAGATCCGGCTCATCTCAGTTGATCGAAATCTTGCTGAATGTCACCGCGGACTAGGATGAGCCCAAATCTCCAAAGGAATAGTTCCTCCCGCGTTAGACCGCGCTACGAAACAGTGACTCGTTCTTAATTTTACGAATCTCCCGAGATGACAGATCGAACAAATAATCAGTTTATAAAAGCGGATGGCGAATAGCCTGTAAGGATCTACCGGCTTCTCAGCAAGAAGCAGATACTAATCCACTTTAACTCCGCAACGGTGTTGAAACTTGGAAGTCCAAGAGAACTGGTATCTGCTCTTCGCTGGGGAACCGTTGGGTATTTACTGATTGTTCGCCAGCTACTTCCATGTGCTGACTGGAGCTTGGAGCTTCGGCGATATGTCTTGATGATACTATACTTCGTTTTTGATATTCTTTGCTTACCATGGCTTTGAGCAAGTATATTCTGTAAATTCCACTCTGAGGGAATAGCATGGAGGAACAACGAACTTTTCATCCAAACTTCGATTACAAGGTCTCGGTGGTAATCTTCGGGCTTGGAAATATTTCAAAAAAGTGTGGCGGAAAAGCACAGTTTGTAAGGGGAGTCAACTGGCAACGTACGAGGGCCATATCGCGCAGGTAGGGGCGACCGATTGTATTTTGGGGAGGACAATGAAACCAACATCCACAATTTGATTCGTGGTGGCCGTTCTTGGTACTGCAGATACTGCCATTGTTCTTATGAGTTGACAACATCATTCTTAAAATAGTAATTAAAGTTTTCCTTCCAACAATAGTGGTATCTTTAGAAATTGAATTGTGTCAGGACAGTCTTGACAAGCAAGCTATGCACGTCCAATAAACCTTCCGCTCACCATATGCAACTTATTATGAAATATGAAAAAGTTGATAGTATAATTTGAGGTTGATTTTTTTGGTGTTCTCCAACGTTTGTCCATTTGTTTCGTATCCTGGTTGGTCACTTTTTGAACCATCAAAAGGTACTCACCAAAAAGGATACTTCCTTGCGGGAGAACAATTGTGCTCACGATGCCAGTGCCATTCAATTCAACTGGGCCGACGGTGACAGGTACAAGATCATCGACTGCGTCAGCCTGGACGCAAGGGAATTACAGGGACATGATTTTGACGACCTTAAACGCAAGTGAACCACAAAGGTTGAAAAACATCATAACATCAACCGCTAGCTATTTACATTATGCACACCAAGTAAGGTGGATGATAAACATATCAATTGTTTTCGGTGAAATAAAATACAGAGCAAATTAGAATAATTATAAATAATACTCCCATTTTCCAATCAGACCATCCCATCCAGCTCTTGGTGATTTTTCGTGGCCTCATGAACCATAGCGCCTGTGTATATGTGTATGTAGGTATGAAACCACTCCCAAGTCCCAATATGTTACATATCTACAAAAGAATTGAACTCCCATTTTATTTACCAAGCATCTTCATCATCCCAAGTAATTTCCTCATCTTCCTGCTTGCTATCTTCTACTGCAGGAACCTCGTGACTTCTACTAGTACTTCCGCTAGAATTCCTTGAATGAACACTCCCGCGTTCAGATGATGTAGCATTAGCATTAACAGGCGGCGCGTTAATCAACCAACCAATTCCACCAGCCAAAGTGCCAACGGCAGCATTACGAAGTTGATCTCTCTTCCGTAATGATGTTCGCCCATTTGAAGATCTAGTAAGATCTGCAGGCGGTCCGGGAACTTCTGCTTGCTTGGGAACATTATGGCTCTCACTCATCGTTTCCGCACGTTGTGACTTTCCTCTGAACATTGATAGCGCTGATAACCCTGTTTGAGCACGAGTGACACTTTCCTTTGAAAGATCGAAAAATGACACAGGTGCCTCTTCATTCTTGTTTCTTCGAGGGGTTCTGGCGTTGGAATATTTTCTAGCAGGTGTAGCAGCATAACCGCCTGGCATGTTCTTATCATCGGCTTTCTCATCCCAAGCTTCTTCTTGTTCTGCCTCTTCCTTGATCATTGTTTCAAGCTCTTCCTCACATCTACGATATGCATTTAGAACCTCTTGTAAAGTATCCCGTGGCGCCAATCGTAGAGCTTGAGCCAAGCAATCCATTCTCTGTTGGAGATGCCTAATCTCTGGGTTTCCACTGGTATTACCGAGATGAGTAGCTCGTGTAGTTCGGGAATTTTTACGATATTTGCCAGCTTGTAAAGCTGCACGCCATGACCAATCATCAATTGGTCTAGGTGGGCGTTGACCAATACATCCCGTATTTCTTCGCTCAAGCTCTGGCATGCGTGTATGCGCTTGACGACCAACAGCCTTGAGACGAGTGACAACGTAAGAATAAGCTGTTTCAAAATCATCTTCCGCAAGAGCCATGTCAATACACATACTGATAACACGTTTTTCGGCGATCTTTAATTTCAAATCGGGAGTGGTTGGATATCCGTCTGGAATTGGTATGGTTAAACCGGCCTCAGCCATTTCTCTAGCCATACGTACAAAATCATTGATTTGTGTATAGCTTTTGTCATTCTGTTCAAGTATTTTGTTCAGGATTGACAAAGGATCAAGATTGACTCGTAGGCTGACTGGTTTGAATGGCTGTCCTTGTTTCAACACCAAACTGTAACGGCCTATTTCATCTGTTACTCGAATGAGATTGCGTAATTCTTGAGCTCGAGGGTGGCCTTTTATTGTATCTGGAAATGCATTGAGACTTACACACAAGTTAGCAAATTCTGTATGAGATCGTAAGTGCATGGAGAATCTTCTTTTTCCGTCCCATGAACGGTGATTGGAGGGAGAAGAAAATTGGACACGTGGTCCCACTATAAAAAGGGAAAAGACTTACATCTCGTCACATTTTTTAACTCCGCCTCTTGACTTGTTAGGATTTGTGGCATTATCGTAGGCATTCTCAGCTGCAGTAAAGATGGCGTGTTGCAAATACTCTTCTGGGATAGGCTTTTCCGCTGGAGTTTCATAGATAGATCGAGCAAGGGTATATCCTAAATGAAAAGATTATCAACAATCGAAGTGGCATGGTAGAAGTAGATACGGTACATACGGGCATTTACAAGAAGCAACTTAAAGGCTTCTACCTCAATTGATTCTTTGTGGATTCGACCGAAAACACCCCTTCCCTGACTCGGATCGACGGTGCCCTCAAACTCTTCAGCTCCCCAATCTCGCAACCATAACAACTCATTCCTCATTTTGATCCAGAAGCGATCATCAGAACCAGAACGATGACCGAACGATGAGATTAATCCCCTGAATGCCATCATTTGCTCATGCTCATCTTGGAGTAAAGCGAGCTCCCCAGCTCTCTTAACAGTACACCCCTCTCCTCCTCTAGTGAGGAGATATGCACTAACCAGTAATGCTTTGATTAAATTAATGGATGATTCATTTGGATTCGTCAAGGTATTCTTCTCTTCAAGATGATTGTTTCGAAGATGTTTTGCATTCTTTCGGTACAAATAACTTTCCTCAAAGGTGGGTATAGGAGTCAATATAGCTGCTGCTGCTTCCAATGTAGGCATCTTATCCATATCAAGTAATGTAAGAATTCTGGAAAGAATACGATGAACGCCTTCCAAAGCTTCGATGGAGCTTTCAGGGATAAGGTAAGCTGTCGCAAGAGCAGCTTTTGCATATCGTTGTTCTAAATGACGTTGATCTTCTTCATCTAACCATTCCGTTCCATCCTCAAATCCTCCCAAATCTACGTCTCCTGGCCCATCCCATTGTTCAATTGCCTTGACGGCTGTTGTCCAAGATATACCTGCTTCAGCAGTGACCCATGCAAATACCAATTCCCAACCAGCGTACTTATGGTTTATAATTCCTGCCTTTTCTAACGATGCTGCTGCTTGGAAATGCTCTGTGGAGTTATCCTGAACTTTTCTTCGCTTCCATCTATTATCTCCATAAAGCCATGGGCCAGTCAGTCCACGCAAATCTCGCCCTACGGATTGATTTTCCTCGCCCGATGTGCTTGAATCCTTCCCTGTCTTTGAAAGCAAGTACTTTGTTCCTTTAACATCATCTAAAGCTTCAAACTCGCGTATGGTGAGTATTGGTTGGGTACCTGAGTGATATTCGTAATTGAGACGAAGGAGGGGTAGAATGGTGGAAATTGTCCAGGTTCGTAGATATGATGAATATGATAAGAAAGGAGCCAATAATGTTGGAACTTCACTGAGTAAGCCGGTATTTTCGTCAACTCGTAATGCGCGGTGTATCAAAAACATAACGAGGTGGTCGTCGAGAATATCCGACGGCGCATCTTTCCATCGTAGAGGAAGGAGATGTAATTTCTTGACCCTTTTCTGGACTTCTGCGGGGTTAATGCCTTTGATTGAGTCCAAAATAATAGTATCCTCGGAGTCGTCTATGATTTTACCTGATACGATGTCCTCTATAAATGGCACATATTTGGAAGACTCCAAACTTTCTGGTAGATGGGTAAGAAGTATGCGGAAGACAAGGTCATTTCGTAGAATGTTTCGATGTCGCGATACAAGAGTTCGTAGAAGTCGTAAATCTGATTTTGTTGCAAATTCTATAGCAAGCCATAGAATCATAGCAGGTTCCAAATCTGGGTTTGCCATTGCTACTCTTCGGTCGAGCATTCCCAAATTTCAGGAACTGGATTTCCGATGTTAGATAAACCAAGCTGTCGGACAGCAGCAGCTAGAAAGTTCCCGCTATCTGGCTTTCAAGCCTAATATAAGAGGCACGTATGCATACTACCCCTGTATGGTTAGCGTTAATTCAATGCTGTAACTGAACATCACATTTACAACCTCAACCCCTCCAAATTTCACAATTCAACGCAAAAGATGGCATCAGGTTACGGTCTTAGTGGGGGTATGTGTTAAATCATTCATAGGAACAAATGGCAGATGTTCCGTGTTTGGAATGAACCCAATGGCTAACAAATTGCTGTCAAGGTCCTTCCCGATGCTTTCCATTCTGGCAAGAAGTCTTAGCTTGTTACGTCGTCAACACCTCTACAGAGAGTGATGCAGGAAAGAGGGTGTGCGCGCCTGTCTTAGAGGATTACTACGAGTGCCTACATCACAAGAAGGAGGTCGGTACTTATCCATCGCGGAACTGGCGGTATCCGACAGCAAGCCCCAGAATTATTTACTGACCAGATTATCTCTATGATTAGCACGCGAGAACGATGGCAATTCAAGCCGCATATCACAAAGCTGAACAAGCGAACCCTCGAGATGATGCGCCGAAGGCAGGAGTAGTAAGAAATTTGGGGCTGCTGGATAAGGAAGAAGATACCAAGAAAGTGCTGGGAATGAAGTGAGATTTACAGGCAGGATTTGGCGGACGTTGTACATTAAGAGCGATCATGATCAATGCCAGTAATTGAAACAGAATCCTTGTTACTGCTATTTGGACGACAGATGTTAGAATGGCTACTGACGTCCATTCGAAGAGTTCGACGAAGGATTTAGGGTAGCACTTCCGGTTTGGTAAGTTAATAATTCTCTGACCTCGTGCGTCCTGTTTGTGAATATTTCAATCCCTTACTACTTTCTCTGGGAGCCATCTCAGTCACGTAGAAACATCTCTCATGTTACGTGTAAGTACCAAACGGCCAAACTTAAACATAAAAAACTGGTAGGTGATCATGATAAGTTCGTCAATATCGGAGTTAGGGATGGATTTTATAGAATCCGAAGCAAATGTACTATCTCCATTGAAAAAACTGATCTTACTGATTCATGACCCAGCTCTGAGGAAAAGAACGAGGTTTCTCCCGGCGTATCTGGTTTGCTCCCCCTTTCCTTTCAAGGATAGTCTTACAGACGGAAGCCGATCGAAAGCTTGGTACTCGATACTGTTACAAGTGAGAGAAAGGAAACATGTTTCTTGCTTGAGGTAGACTTGCGATTCAGCTTCTTGCAAGGCTACTTCAAAATCTTGTCCCTTGGGATGTTCGCTATATCATTTGTATTCCACCTCAAATACTAGCTATACTTGGGAGATGAGTGACAGCAACACGGGAGACATGAATATTCCATATGTTGCCATTTGGAAATCTCATCTTACAAAGAACGGATGACATTAAAATGTTGAAAACTTAAGAGAAGTGTAAATCTACGTGTTTGGAGTGATGTTCGGTATTGGTTCTCGTCCGCTAAGTAAAGTGAAGTTCGCTACTTCTTCATACAGCAACTTTCACTTCAAGATATCATACGTCTTTCCAAAGTCTTATTTCCTCATACACTTTGATTCAATCAACTCGCTCACCCATTCACTCAATTCTTCATTCTCCATTCACATCCATTCTGGGCGTCAACAATGAAACTGTGAAATAAATCTCCCTGTATGATTTCAATACCTTCAATATTTTCAGATCTCAAGATCCAATTTCTGGCAATTTCATCAAGATGCCGGCGCATAAAGGGATCAAGTTGCACATAATTTCGCAATGGGAGTTGAAAATGCATCCAGAGTTCCCGCATCCAGAAAGTACTCAATTCACATTTCGATCACCAAAATTGGACAAAGAAGCTTTCGAAGGCCATGGTCATTCACCAGCTACTAAATCTAATGATAGCAAGGCCGATCGTTTACTTGGTAGACAGTCCTCAATTATTTCGGTGTATATACCATCAGCATCAGGTAAAAGCCTCCCAAGGTGAAGGATGAAATGCGCGCGCACATCTAATACTTATATAGGATCTCGATTTTTTATACGCTATAATGTCGGCGGCGCCGCAGATCAAGGTCCATGGTTCTACTTCAAGTTATATATGAATGGCCGACATGTTACATCTTGGGGAACAAATACTAAGAACCGACCGAGCGGGCAGGTGATGAGAGCATTGTTCGAACCAGGTGTAGAATGGGACTACATGGAAGGTAAAACAACTTACAAGAATCCCGGTACAGAATACAGACCATTCTTTTTCAGCCAGGAGAACGGAGACTGTGCTGCTGCAGATGATGGTGGTTTGATCGAGATCAAGGTCTTTCGCGCTCGCGGTCGCAAGAGAAGGAACCCACAGCTTGCTCAATACAAAGATCAGTCAAAGTATGGTGTTATGTAAGTTTTACAACGGGCTGTATACGCTTATGCCGTGTAATCGTTTGCTCGAATAACCTTGGCTAATGTCATTCAGCATGCCTACTCATGGCCTTGTAGAGAAACCTCAAGATACGAAATATTACGACTGGCATTTGAAGGATGCGAAAGACAATCCATTTGTAACATTCAAATTTCATTACAGAAGTTGGGATCACCTGGAAAAGTTGCATCTTATACCTCCTAACCATCCCAGAATTCTCGAAGCACAGGTACCAGCTATGGCTAGGCACCTAATGGCTTCAAGTCAGATTATACCTCAACCGGACCAACGAACTGAATCACCACATACTCCAACAAAATACTTGGGCAAAGTTTATACTAGCGATCAAGTACACGATTCTCTCCGAGCTGCCTACCCTCCATTCGACCTTAGCGGGAGTCCCTACGATTCTGATGAAAGACAACCTTGGATGCCTCGAATCTTGGACACAGGCCAACTAGATTCGTTATTAACGGTCAAGAAGGATCATAGAGATGCATTTATTGTTTCTTCTAATTCAGCCACGGAGCCCGATCCTTTCTATATATCATCTGGAGAAAAAGGTATCCAGAGAAAAATCATGCCAATTTCAAAATTTTCAGCGCTGTCCATTGATGGAGCTGGATTGGCATCTTCACATGAATGGTTGGCTAGTGAGTACAATACTAGACCATTACCTGATATACCAAGTCGGACTTCATCTGCAGCTTCGCGTGCATCAGCAACATCTCGTGCACCATCTGTCACTCCTTCTTTGTTATCTTATATCGATAGAGATCAGCCGTCTCCCGATCCAGTCATTGGAACTGCAATTGCAATATCTATTGAGTCGGATGTTTCTGAGATATCTAACGAATACGGGGATGACAGTGAAGAAGACGAATTTGATGAGGAATATAATTTTGAAGGTTCATCCGCTTTGTCTCCACCACCTTCTAGAACTGATGTATGGCTCCAATTTAATTTCATCCATCTCATTCTTCCCCTGTCTAATCTCTGGCTGCCTTCTTTGCTTACCTCATCCAAATTCGGATGAAACCACTGTACTGACAATCTTGAAAAATAGCCCAGGAGACAAGGAATTATCTCATCATCAACAGTCCAACCTTCTATCTCCCTTCCAAATGTCACAATACGTAAGCCGAGGCATTCAATAGATGATATCTCGCCTTTGAGAATCCCACCAAGAAAAGAATCCATCACCGCTAAATCATATATCAGCACAGCAAGCGACGACAACACAGGCACACTTTCCCTTACCGAGTCAGAGTGGATGCGACGTACACCCTCCCCTGTAAAAGAATCAGAATGGATGCGTCGTACTCCGTCCCCTATCAAAGAATCGGAGTGGATGCGACGTACTCCCTCTCCCGCCAAGGAAACTATAATCGAAAGACTTTGGAGTTCAACACCAGAAAAGAGGGAAAATTTGAAGAATAGATTGTTATCTCCGGAAAGAATGGCTGAAATGATGGAGTTGAGTATGACAGAAGATGATGATGACTCACCCCAGCAGGAATATGATGTTGAAGACAATGCATGGGATGTAGATAGGGGCTTAGATGGTGGTGCAGTGGAATTGGTGACTTTACATCATCAGCATTGTCTAAGTGAACGAAGGGGAAGAGAGAATGTTGGAGTAGATTATGATGATGGAAATGTCTCTGGTGATTATGAAGTTAATGCTATGAAATTGAGGGAGAAGAACGGAAGTGGGGGTTCACCGGAAAGTTTTGAGAACCGTATGAGTATGAGGGATGGGAATTGGATCTAAGGGTGGGAATAATGTTCTTGGGATGAAAGGGTAGAGTGTGTGAGGAATTTGGAGTATATGTAATAGTAAATCGCTAATATATAGTATAGCTATGGCTGGCTGTGGCTAAGAGTGTGACTATCTAGGTAGTCGAGGAGTCGATACTGGAATAATCATAGAATAATCACTTTGGTGAATGAGAGAAATGTCAATATAGAATAAGAACGGAGGTAACACAATGAGTTTAGATATTGCAGCACTGTGAAAGTGAAATGAGAGAAAATGAAAACATATGTAAGTGTGGAAGCCAAACTGTACTGGATGGATTTTGAATGGCTGGATTTGAATTAATTGCCTATAAGTGATCTTCATCTACGTATATATCTACCTCAGCTTCCTGAGTAACTAACTAACTATCCATCCACCAAGTAATGAGTAAGGAAGCCAAAAGAAGAATCAAAGAGACCACCCCGAAACAAGAACTAAAAGCTCGAGCTAGAAAGTTCAATGTGGTAGAGAGATGCCTCTCTCACAATCAAGATATGATGAGGAAAGGTAAGTTGTAATATTATGTTATTTGCACCGGATGTGGATATTAGGGCAACTGTTCATATTTCACGATGTTCTAATCACTGGGCAGGAGTTGAAATGGAGGGTGGGTCTTCCCAAGTTCCTAAGTTCCAAGCCGTGGTTGGGAGATTGCAGGGATTTGTATGATATCTCGGAATAAAGAAGTGGAAAGGGAGATTCGATCTGTATGGTTGATAGATGGATATGTATATGGCTCAAATGCAGGCTAGTCAGAGTAGTTATCTTGATTTTCTACAGATTTATCTATCTGACACTATTGATCCCTGATGATACCTACCTACCTATGTACAGTAATTCTCATAGCTCACTTCTAAAAACTCTCCTAGCAACGAGATAATACCCGTGGCGAGGCATCAACCTCCATAGCCAGAAACGGAAAAGTGTGTTACACACGATCCCCTCTTGTCCTACCATCAACCACCCACGCCTATTTATTTCCCGGGATTTCTCCTCCTTTCCGACGTTGCAGAAAAGGGTGTCTGGTACTCACTTATCCAAGCCATATTTGGAAGGTATTTGCCCAATACGATACGTGATATGTATTTGAATATCTAATTTTCAGTGCGGTTATACCGGCAAACTTGGATTCCTTTCCTGTCAAATGCATGGAATATCTGCCTATGCTATGGAAAGCCATTGATATCATCCGCGCCTTTCTTGTCCATTCTTATCCTTGGTTCCGTTTGAGGTGAAAGAAGCAATCATTAGGTTTTCATGGTTTGTCATGTTTGCTATCTACTTTGAACCTCTAATCTGCCCAAGGTTCTACCGGATCATTTCCAAATTTTTCCTAGCTGGAACACTTAACACGGGAACACATGTATATCATCTATAGAGTAATAAGAAGGCAGGCAACTACGCACTTGAGAGTAAAAATCTTCTCAGTATCATGTTTGGTAGATCAGAATTGGAAGTATCTGCAGGAATCAAGATCGACGCTTGAAATGGGAACACCCGAAGGTATCTTCTCTACAACTTTGACCAGGTAGTTGTTGTCGCTGATCAGGAAACAAGTTTGATGAGTAGCATCGTCGATGAAAATAAATTGAGGCGCGCGTCACCAAGTAATCAGGTGACACAGAACTTACAAGGCCATAGTGGCAGCTAATAGATGTGCCGATCCTTGCCAAGTCACTACCTTGCATGAATCTCTTCTGCTGCGAGAAACTTTTACAGATGAACGATGAGTATTAAAAGTTAGCCGCGCTTGCCAATAGCGAATATCCGCCAAAAAGTGATGTTACAATGTTAATCATGCAACTTCCACCGTGTAGAAAGGGGTGCGCTTGGTGTATGCGAACATCCGCACAAGGGATCCTGGTCTGTCTGTAAAAGCTACCACACGTGGATCGTTTGTCCTTTTGCCACGTGAAGCTAATGATTCCTTAGACCATTGACCACTCTCTGAACCAAACATATCTTTAATGAGAATTGCAATGTGGCTTCGAGTCCGATGGCAAAACTAAGCAACTAGCCTATGTTTGTGAATACGACAGATGATATGATGGATATAAGTCTCTCAGTGAATGGAGAACTAAGGTTCTGGACCGATCCTTGCAAAGTAACGGTGCGATGCAGCTCCATCATAGTTCTTTTTTAGCTAATGCAAATGGTCGCTGATCTTTGGCTGGCATCCATCGTCTTGTAAAGCACATGAAATATTGGGCAATGGAAATATTGGCCAGAAATGACTTGTCAAAATGCAAGTGCCTAGTGTGTAAAGGGTTCTGCATAACATGGCAGGAAAGGTTTCTATGCAGATAGACTTTTAAAAGTGGAACTGAAAGTCCTTGTGTAACAAGCCGCCGGCTTATGCCGACTAGCACTTTTGCCTTTAGTCTTCGCGCGACATTCGCCCTTCGAAGCCATTCTATAGATAATTCCTAGTTAGATATTTTGCGGGATGATGGCAGTGTAAAGGCGGTCTTGATTAGGAAGTATTAGTGGCGGATTGACGGGATGAATAGATGATAACAGTAAGGTGCGGCAAAAAATTTGTATTAGGTCTCATCATTATAACGATCAAAACGCCACACAATTTCAGATCCTGCCAATTGCTTAGGGTTTTTGCCGCTGAGTTCGGTAGGAAGTATGCAAGTATCCGTCCCGGTTCCTTCGTTACCAAGAAAGGGTGAACGTATGTGGGTACTGCTACGGAAGCGCGCAGCAATAGACTTAGGAAGTAAATGATTTGAATTACAGGGTATGATGAGATATTTGCAGCGATTTCAAGCTTTTTGGAAATTGTAGAGAAGAGAGCTATGACAAAAGTAAAAGAAAATGCAATCAAGGGCATGACACTGATCTGAGCTTCCTTCTTCGGAGTCTCTGGAAGTTGATAATCTAATGAAATCGCGCTCGGCCCGATCATTGTAATCAATGACATTATTTCCCGAAGTATGAAATATAAAGCTCAAGGCCCTAGCTTTCACAAGTGTTGCATATATTGATCAACACTTGCCTTGTGGATAGGATCATATATAACGACGTCTAATGTAAGTGTTCCTTCATATTTCCCTTCCAAAAACTGGTTGCGAACTTTGCGGGGAAGAATTAACACTCGTTTACCGGTAGAAATGTTGATTGGTTGCCAAAAGGTTCTCGCCGCTTCACCAAGATAGCAAGGAGAGAATCTAGCGCCCAGTTGGTAGCTTGACCGCCTTGTTCTCTAGGTGTATCTACATCATTCCTGCATATGTAACATATGCAGAAGTAATGAGTAAATTTGACTTGTTTAAGTGCATCTCGTTGTTGATGTATGTGTCGCAAACGTACTCAGCAATAAGATAGCGGTCAAGAATGAAATGATTTTAACCCACACGGATCCCCGAATCATGTCGAACAGCATCGAATTCTTTTTCGCAAATCATTGTGTAATCCCCCTAATTTCAGAACCATTATTCGAGATGGATAGCAACGCTTTCAGTGTCGTCAACCCACCAGCTGTGAAAAGCTGGGAGCAGAATTTTGAAAGCTTTCGAGACCACAAAAATTTTCCGCTGGTAGGTAGACGGGAACTGACAAAGACTTATCATGAACTGACTTTGAGCAGTTTCAAAATGAACGTGGCGAGCTCTGTCAAGATACGACACCACTTTCTGGAAACCGTGAAGGCAATAACAATTCGCCAAGAACGCCAACATGTGCAGTATTACATCCACGACGGCATCCTTCCAAAGCGCATTCTTACTCCATTCCCTTACATCCAGCACCTAACATGACGCAAGGTTATGGTCCAGATTCAACACTTGGGGTAGATTACACCCAGATGGGTTTAGACCAGGGCCGAGGAAGTTTTACAGCGTTCCAAAATTGCAGGACTTCGACACCATTTTCAATAGCACACGGATCTTTCTCCGTCAACAATTTAACCACCAATCGTTTCAGCAATGACAACATAATTCCAAGTATAGACTATGACGATCTCCAAAAGCCCAATACAGACAGACTCGATACTTACGAGTCTCTTGCGTCAGAATCTGTAACGCACGACGGCATCTTGGGTGATTGGTGGTCGATCGAGAATGGCAATCTGATGAATAAAATCAATGATCATTCGAGTGGAATGGTAGCACCATATGACATTCCGAGTTTTCCTGATGGCCTTCCTAGACCACAAAATGAACAGCTAGATAATTTTGAGGAGAGTTGGAATGACGGGTGGGTAACGGAGAGTGAATGGCCACCAGCTCCTTTCGTTCCGAGTACGATCAAACCCAGAGCGTTGAACCTTAGTGCATCGTTTACTTCCACTGCCTCAACCGCCACCAGGGCGTCGAGCCAAGCCTCGGCATTTTCACCAGAGTCCATTGCTATTACAAGTACTTCAGATTATACCCCAAGTCCTTCCCCAGCCGAAGGGCTATCCAAAGACCACACCCCGCAATCACGTTCTCGACACATGCTCCCAAGTTCGAGACCGATCAGAAACAACATCCCCGATAGGTTCGATGAATATGAAACGGCCACAGACAAGCCAGTGGAAGATCGGCACCCAAGTGCTAGCACTCCCATTCGTGCAATTCGAAATACTCGAAGTCATAGAATGATTGAAAATGACCCTGAAATCAAGCATTCCAATGTACCGCTTACGCCCAAAAATGATTTTCTTGATGTTAAATCTTTGTCAACTATCGAGAACACGCCATTTCTTACTCGATCTGAACAAAATAACTTTTTGATTCGCTCAAGGCAAGCGGGTATGTCATATAAGGCAATTCGATCCAATGGGAACTTTACCGCTGCAGAATCCACACTCAGGGGTCGATTTCGAACGTTAACCAAAGACAAGAAAGATCGAGTGAGACAGCCGAAATGGACAGAAGACGATGTGTGTAGACTGTTTAATTTATCGTGTACACTGAGGCTAACCCTTGTTTTTAGATACAATTGTTGAGCAAAGCTGTGAAAAAGCTTGGGCGCAACACAAGTAAGGGTTCAGAGCCACAATGGAAAAAAGTTGCCCAGTACATCTATGATAATGGAGGATCATATCATTTCGGTTACGCTACTTGTCGAAAACGGTGGATTGCACTTAAGAATGTCGATAAGAAGGTATGAGATTGTGCCAAGATTTGAAAAGGAAAATATCGAAGCCCAAGATACAATTCATATCGGATAGAATGGTTACCTATGTGTTGAGATGCACAACGCATTCGTGAATCGGCTGGTTTGATAACCACTTGACGTCGAAACAAAATACCAGCGAGTGATGGAGAGTCGGTTGATTTGGCGTCCAAGTAGAAAGGCAATGCTGGGCTGGCTTCGTATTATGACCATGGTGTAATAAACAGATATCTTAGCTCACATTAAATCCATTTTATATCTTTCCGTCTAAAGGTTTATCGGAAGTACCAGAATTTGTCTGATGAGGATCAACTGTGTTATGCAGAGGTACTCCTATCGTCTCGAGAACTTTGACAAGTATTCCCTCGTCCTTACGAACAGCATCCCATTCAATCTCACTTTTAACTAGCATTGTACCCGCTAGAAGAGTGCCATTCAAAGCAACATATCCGATATTTTTGCCATCAACATTCTTGATCTCAAGCCCCTCTGACATTCGTGGACATAGTACCATGGATTTATTGGTAAGTCCCAAGTTATAGCTAATGGGCGACTCTTCTCTGTGGTCTTGAGAAGGCATAGTTTTCATCAGCTGACAAGCTTTCTGATGCAGTTTTAAGTAGGTTGCATGCAGATCTGACGGCTGAACATTGCTTGGGAAAGACGCGGCGAAGTATGTGAATGGGAGCTCTGCACAAGGTATCAGCCCATGTATACAAAAAAGATACAGAATAATTACCTGGAGCGGGTGTGTCAACGAGACGGTCGATCAAAGGAGACCATTCCAACTCTTTGTCTAGTCCTGCTCTCATCGATTCGACTGGAAGGAATTGAATGTGTCTATGGGGCTGTGACGCCCCCGAGTATTCCCCCGAATTGAAGAATCCAAACAATTCTTCTCCTTCCGCATGGTATGATTCTAAACAATTATATGCCGCCACAAGATCAGCTTCCTTCAACAAGTGTGTCTGTTCTTCGAACTCTTTCGTTGAAAGAACGAAATGATCCGGTATGACAGGAAATTTATTAAGTATGAGGTTGTGCGACCCAAACTCTGTTACAAGCAGCGACAGGGACGGCTTCAGGAATGGATTGAATGGCTTTTGAGAGGTGTCTTTGGGCTTGTCGGCCTTAGGTTTATGTGCCAACGCTGGAGAATATCGCAATTGAAACTATGTCAATCAGTACAGCTAATGAGGGACAACCATGTTGAGCTCTTACCGGCAGCGAATTGCAATGCAAAATGGTCAATTGAGTCTGGAAATAGGTGATATCGCCGGCAGCTTGAGCTGCTTTGAATTTCTCGCGAACCAGAGTAGGTAAGTTACGCATGATTGTGGATTTGAAGGGTGAATGTGTTGAAGGATGTTGACCTGGTGCCCAAAGTTTCCCCAGATAAGATAGGGTTGCGGCGATAAGAATAATCCCCGATGAAAATGATGTCACCGTCATCGATGAGTGCAACATATCAATGCTTTCAAAATTTAAATGTTGAAAATTTATCTTACCCATTCGAATTCATTGTTAATTCGGATTATTGATTATTGCACACCTTGGTATCAACTCGCACTAGACGGCAATACCTTTTGCCGCAGATGTAGCGATGCAGCAGCGACGTCAAGACGGCGAGCAATAATCATATATCACCGTGGCAGATTCTCAACGCTTCACTTGACTAGCCAATATGTCAAATAAGATGATAGACTGTATACTCATAGGCGTCGAGATGATGTTATCAATCCTGTTGGTGTTCTCACTCGTCTTGGAGATAGCACCTAGTCTTGTTTCCATGAAGAGGGCTAGTTGATCTCCTAGAACCCAGATATGCTCATGTTTTTATTCGATCATCATATTGCACTGTGTTAAGTATATTTGTCACTCTGTCCAAAAGAAAGTTCTTGCAGTTCTTGCTACTTAATCCAGCATTTGGCAAAAACCTTGCCGCGCAGCAGAGTCAATATAACAGCCCTGATTACCAACATCACTGCCTTCCCAAGCGAAAACGAAGAACAAATGATCGTTGTTTCTCTGCTGTCAATTTTGAGATATTTTCAATACGGACTCGGATGCCCTAGGTGTCGCGAACAGCCTGCAGGTTTTGAAAGGTCTTGATGCACGTTTATTTCAGTTCAACTTCACTAACTTCCCGGAATTGAAGGGAAATCTCGATTTCTGCTGCCGCAGTGTGGTATATGATCCATATGCTTGTGTTTCTATTTATGGTGCTGAAATCAGACAATCACAGCGGCATTTGAAACTCTATTCTAGAAATCATAATAGCAGCAAGATTGCTAGATTGCTAGATAGCGAACCTCTATATCACAATACTAGAAAATACCATCCAAAAATAGTTTTCAATGTTTACCATAAGCTATTAGTCACCGACTCAAATTGTCTCTTTTGATTCAAGGATATAAATGAGTGCTATTACTGGCAAGAACAATTGAGTAAATTCACAAGCAATACATTATCACCTCAACTTGGCGTTACAGTCACAGTGGAGAGCACTCTTGTTGATGTATATGTTTCAAAGAATTGCAATTAGAAGCTCAAGCAAATTCACCAACACGTACAGCTCCTGCTTTCTCTACTTCAATTTTATTCCTATCACCTTCTTGACCTTCTCGGGAGCACTCGCTCTTCACCTACCACTAGATTCGACGTCTAATTCGACAACTACTGCACTAACTGCCTAGCAGTGCTAATTGTCTTCTACAAGCTATGAGGTCAACATCGAGAAACGTGCCATCATTTGATTCATAATGCCTCGATAAACAACATCAACCTGCAATCAGTGAAACCTGACTCAGTGTTGAACCGCTTTGCATGAGTGAGTCTGTTATGCCATTTTTAACAACATACATGTTTTTGCTACAATAATTTGATTCTTCGAATCCATTTATGTATCCATCACCTGATTTCAAAATCTTGAAATCCCTAGAAGTCATCTCGCTGCTTATAGACTCTACATTTTGTCTCGCGGTCGCTTAATTCTATGTTTGGGAATATCAAGTATGATAGCTTGCTGCGGCATGTCTTATTTATGGTTGGACTCCTCCCATGCCAAGAATAGCTCTTATATTTTTGGGCAATCCAGTATTGAACTTTGCTGTGGCCTTGTTTATGCCACCAAAGTGGCTGTCGAGGACCACCGGCTAGATCAAATGGTCGTGGCTTCCGCTTTACCATGTTCTGAATTTAGAAACGAATTTCAAGCAAGTCCCAATTATGTATATATACTTGAAATAGTCCCAGCACACGGATTCAGTCAAAAGCAAAAACAAGTATACAGACCCTGAGGCTCATCCTTCACATCTAATTCACAAATTCCCACAAATCCATTTGTTCGACTTAACCCCATCGAATTCAACTACTTGCTATCACTAATTACTTCATTATCAACATCCACCAAAACGCAAAAGCCATTCTTACTCAATGTATAAACTTCTTTCGCTTTCATCATTGATTGTTTTCGCGATGTCTCCCGGGTCATTTGCTTTCAATTTCAATCGAGATAGAACCACACTCTCACCAAGCACAATAATTCCAACAGGGAAAGCAGTCGTCCAACAGAATCCTGCCATCATGGAAGCGGTTGCCGGTTGCTGGTACCTTGACTTGTGTTGAAAATGATGATAAAGCCGCAACTAGCAATGATCTCATATGTATATGCGACGGCTTAGATTGCGCCCTAGATGAGAGTAGCGAAGTTGTCGTTTCAATTGATTGTGAGGAGGGCGAGACAGGAAAGTTTTTGTGTGTATCTGGAGGTCATTTCTCTGGCATCGATAGCTTTCCTGACAAGAAGAAACGTGATGGCATCCCAAATATCACCAACCAAAACGAGACCAGCGAAGCATCTCTCAAAACACGTCGAGGTTTTAGCTTCATTCGGGGACTTTGCGAATTTTTCACTGGTGACAGTGATAAATGCGATAAATTCTTCGAGAAACGCGATTTGGCCTCTGCAACCAGTTCTGGTCAGTATACAAACCAGTGATCCTCTACGCACTCACATACAACATTCGCAACTGGTATGACGCAACCATGATCCAAATAACGACCTTACAACTATAAGAGTCGCAAGTTTTGTGGTCAAGTTGGCTTCTGCCAGGACGAAGATTCCAACTGCACATTTACTTGGGCCGATGAAATGGAAGCGATAACCATCGCAGACTTTATTTAGATGAGAGCTTTATTTGAGTATTGACGATGGGTCTGGAAAGGCTTTTGTCAAAGCATTGCAAACTTTGCAATACGGGCAGGGCCTGAGTTTCTGTCTCTTGTTTCTTGTTTACCGTCGTTTTTTTTATTCTGCTCCCGTTCCCTACATTAAGGGCTCTGAGGCGTCTTTGTATGTTTTTCTACGCTCCTTTTCCAGACTTCAGTCATGCGTATCAAAGAATTTAGTACTGGGTTCCATCAGATGATGCTATCCTTAGTAGCTGCCTATCATGTTTATGTCAATCGTTTATAGTTTTTGTAATCTCCATCGCTGTCTTCATTTCCTAAGCATGTATACGTCGATGTTTCTGGTGATAATTCCGAAACTAAGAAACACCCAAGCGAAAAAAAAAAAATCTTAAAGTATCATCGTTTCCCCAGTATTTGATTGGAATAGGTAGGACTTACTGAAGATTGTTAATGCTGCCCCACCATACCTATGTCTGGGGTTGTCGGTAATCTTTCAGCTCACTCCTAACCGACACTAAGGATCTAGATTGCTGCAGTCATTGACGAATTGGGGATGAAACACCATGTCTCAACCAATGACCAAGCAATAATCATTATAGTGTTTTCACGACGCGAATCTTTATTCGGATATCCACTTAATATAGTATCAACACAAGAATTTCAAATTGTATATGAGCAGCGCGAGGTACTCATCAATCACTTCCTTTCTGATCACTGACGTTCTTCACATCGATCAAGATGTATTTGTCATTCTCGTTCGTGTTCTTTTTATCCTTCTTTCATGATGTAGCATGTGACCCAGTCTTCTCCGGGAAGGTTCTCGAAAGATCAGCCGATCTCCTACCAATTTACGATTATGTGATAGTCGGAGGAGGAACAAGTGGACTCGTCGTTGCAAATCGTTTGTCCAGAAATGCTAGTAAGTCCAGTACCTCTAAAAACCTGTCGTTTCACTCTTGTTAACATTAATACAGATACCACCGTTCTCGTGATCGAGGCAGGAAATTTGTACGGCCTCAAATTCTCATGAGGTTTGCACATACTCACATTGTCACAGTCACAAAAATGAAGATTTCATAACAGTCCCTCTAATAACCACCTCCAATCTCCCCGTGCTTGGTAATGGTCCTCGTGGCACAATCTATGATTGGAACACAACGTCAGTTTCACAATCGAACCTTGGAAATCGATCGATTGATCTTCCAGCTGGGAAAGTAATTGGCGGTTCTTCTGCCATAAATGGAATGGCATTCATGCGCGGTAATGCAGCTGAATATGACCATTGGGAAGAACTTGGAAATGCTGGATGGAATTGGGAAGGTCTCCTTCCTTATTTCAAGAAAAGTGAACATTTTACTCCTGCCGAAGAAGAGGAAGCGCAGGATTGGGACATTGAATACGAAGCAAACGTCCATGGGGAAAATGGATTTGTCCAGAATGGATATCCGGATTTCGTTTGGCCTAGCACTAGTAAGTTTCTTCTTATAAAGTTCATCTCGCCAATTTTCGATGGGATCAAAGAATCCAATCTAAAAGACCCCAGAAAACTTCTTAAACGCTTTCTTCGAACTCGGCGTCTCATATATAAAAGACTCCCTCGCAGGTCTCAATGCCGGCGTCTTCTTCATCATCCTATCTCTTACCCCCGATACCAAAGAACGCAGTACATCTCAATCTTTTTTACCCCCAAGCTCTAATTTGACCGTTCGTTTTAACTTACATGTATTGACTTCCAATACTGTCACTCAAATTATCTTCTCTACTCCTTCCAATTATTCATCTGAGACATCAAAAGAACCAAGAGCCACGGGAGTAGAATATGCAGCTGGTGTAAATGAAGAGAAATTCAAGGTGAACGCTAAGAAAGAGGTAATTCTCAGTGCCGGAGCACAGCGAACTCCACAGTTATTACAGATCTCAGGAATAGGACGACGTGATGTTTTGGAAGACTTAGGAATTGACGTCGTGGTCGAGAGTGAAGGTGTTGGCGAGAATTACCAAGATCACCTATTGCTTACTACTGTTAACAATGGTACGTTGTTTTATCTTGTGTCAATTTGGATAACTTGATGTTGAACGACTACTGATTTGAATCAATTTAAAGCTCCGAATATAGCAATTCAAACAGGGAATTTCAGTACGAATGCTACGTGGCTTGAAGAGCAGCTTGAATTGTATCACGAGAAAAGGGAAGGTGGGCTACATTTTCCATAATCATTTGAAGCATTGAGCCATACTAAACATCATCTTAATCAATAGGGCCCTTCACAACTGCCTCGGCAAACGTCTTTGCTTTCCTCCCTCTCGCCACAATCCTAAATGCTTCTTCCCCCTCCACCCTCTCCACCCTTCAATCTCTTTCCCAATCCACAAATTTGTCCCAGTACCTCCTCCCATCTACACCCACGTCAGTTCTCGCTGGCTACAAACTCCAACACCAAATCCTCGCAACCAATCTGCTCTCCAAAAATACATCTCACATGGAGATGATCGTTAGCGATGGAATCATCATCCCCGCCATTCAACTCCCTTTCTCTCGTGGCCGCGTCTCTATTTCCTCAACTTCTGCTTTCGATTTCCCTCTCCTAGATCCAAATTATCTTTCCAATCCAATAGATTTGCTTCAATTGGCCGTCGCATTCAATTACACGCGTCTCATGCGTACTACTTCTTCTCTCCAAGCAATCAATCTCACAGAATCATATCCAGGTTCGAGTGTAACAACTCAAGCGGAGATTGAGGAATATGTGAGGGAATCGGCAGCGAGTGAACATCATCATTCGGGTACAGCATCGATGTTGCCGAGAGAGTTGGGTGGTGTGGTGGATGATGGATTGAGAGTTTACGGGGTGAAGGGCTTGAGAGTAGTGGATGCTAGTGTGATTCCGATGATTGTTGGAGCGCATTTGCAGGGGACTGTATATGCAGTTGCGGAAAAGGGTGCAGCAAAGATCTTGGAGGATGCATAGGGTCACTAATACTTCTGTTTCGGGCATGGCCCTTAAATTTTAATATATCCCTCAGGTACCTATGTGAGGTTCGACACAGTACTAGGTCGGATTTTAACACAGCAAAATGTTAGATTCACTGCAACTAAGACCCACAATGGAGCATCCATTCTTTGCATATATCTTGCTGTTGATTGACACCCCGTCTCCCAAGTTTTACACAATTGAATAAATTATCCGAAGAGTTCAAGGTGATTCCGCCATTATCTTCTTCCAGAGCCACACAAAATAGGTCATGTGGAACTCGCCACAGATAGCATTCAAAGTTTAGAAGCACAAAGTACAATAAGTTCAAAAGACCGTCTTTCTTGGCTAGCTGAGATCACAATGCGTATCAGTGACAGAAACTAAGCGCAAATCATCGGCACATGCTGTTCCGCAAGTTCGTCGTTTACTTTATCCTTGATTTAGAAAAGTTGCCAGTAAGCCCTCCCTTAAATAGTGGACTCGCTTCTTCTCTGATTCTGGTATTCGCTCGTTATGAAACTTCAATCTTAATGCAGTTCCACAGGGCCCAATGAGATCTCACCAGTCATCACTGCTTACTCTATGACTACTCGCATAACCAATTGACCTTCCTAACCTACCTATTTAAGCAAGTCTTAGACTACTTCCTGATATCCCCAATGCTCGAAGAAAAGATCTGGGAGACTTCAAGTCTGGAAGAACCTATCAATTTTTTATTTGATGAGAATTGATATATTGACACAATACAAGGCAAAATCTCCAAAACGGCACAACTATAATAACAACGTTTGACAACGACAATGATTACTTGGACAGCAGTGATAAACCGAACTCACACGCGACCCAGCGCTAGACTCTTTGAAAGCCAGTATCTTGCGCCAGGTTTAGATAGAATTGAGGTTCGTGACAAGAAGAGCCCATAGCCGCTACAACCCAATTGCTTTCTTATGCGCAAGTATTCTAGGAAAGCTTGCAGAGGATTTCAATACTTAAGATCTAGCAGACTATGATACAGACTCTTTACATATTGTGACTCATATCTCCCACTTTGACGCACCCGCGTAGGAGTAATTGAATAGTCAAGGGGCCGTCAATCCACCTCCACGGAATGCATCTAATCACAATTAGCTATCCGGAGCCCAAACATCTAATTATATAAACGCTGCGTTTGAATAGTTCTTACCTTTCAGACATGAACATGATCATATTATCCAATTTTTATAAGGCAAATCGCAGTATCTCTAAGTTCAAGACCCACTGGCTCCCAAATAGTCAGTCGGGACTTCAAGATCCGGCGGATATGATTCGAAGACTAAATAGAATAGTAACTGCAGTCAACATGTATAATAATGGCAATAAAAAAGTGAGCTATTAGATGAAACTTCATGAATTTCTTGGACGTTCAAGGTTATCCGCTAATTCCTGGAATTAAGGAACTTCAAGTGCGCTTTGGAGAAATATAAATGATAGAAAGGTATTCGAATGTCGAAACACATTGCCCCTTCGTGGTATTCGTTAAGTGTTTTGTGACTTTTACCAAATCTTCAAGTCAAAGGCTTTAAATAGCAAACCCGTCTTCTCAGAGCTGTCTTGCTGAAATCTCAGATCCACCCCGACCTTCCAATGCACTCATTGCTGTACGTGATTCACTCCTCTACCCCTGACTTGTACCCCGCTATACCCACACCCTTCATATCTAACCCCTCTGATCTCAAGCTGTAGTTGCATAGGCAGAGCTATGTGCGGGCATATATAAACCCCTCTTAACCATTAATGTGATCTTCAAAGCTACGGTAACCATAGAGTGTGTATTTCACATGTCTGTCTTGTTAAAATTAGCAGAGTTGTTATCTACACAGTTCCTGAAACTACATACCTACTCAGCCGTATTCGTTCTCGTTACCATTGCATATCCCAAGTATAGAAAAATATGATCCCCAAGAAGAAACTAAAACGACAGCAGAAAGACACAAGTTTCGACAGTGAAAATAATCATCGAAATTCAAACTATAGAATTCCATGACCATATCATTCTGATAAAACCAACAAATCTTCCATGACAAACTCGAATGATTTGCTGATATTTGAAATTTGCACCTTGTGGCTGGAATATTCCTTCGTTTTGAAAATGTTATAGACCAAGTAGAGACTGAAGAATGTGTTGTTTACATATGTCCCCGTCTAAATCTTGTGGGTCCAACACCCTTCGATTTTTCATCAAACTATTCACTCCTCCCAACCTGTGAGGACAAGCCTCACAGAATACGTACTCCTGAAAGAAGATATGAGAAAGCGTCTACCATCTAAGAGTAACTCCTCTACATCCCACATCTTTCTCCACTATATAAATACAGCTTCTCCAGCCCTCAGGATTCAACCAGCAAATCCTGCTGTTTTCCCGGGAAACTAGAATGGCGTATACTTTGTTTCAAGAATAAATGGTGGGATATACACATGACTGACGATTCATAGATAGCCGTTAGATGATCAGCACATCTGAAATACAGAAATACAGAACAAAAGGTACCATCCGCAATGAAACAACGGCTCTCAAACAAAGACAGCGCAAAAAGTAATCGAAAAAACGAAATATTTTCACTAACAATAAGATATGGTGCAAAGCAAGTACCAGAAGATGGCAACAAGAATGGAAGATTAGCCTACTATATACCGCTGCCGCTGTGCCTTAACGACTGGAAATTGTTTTTTTCTGAAAATATTGTCGGTGGTACGATTCTAAGGGATGGGTTTGCACTATTGGATGCAGTCCTTGGTGACGTAGAAATCACGAGAATTAACATGAAGCATGCCTTTTCGCATGGTTTCACACATGTTCGTTGGTTTACAGAGTTGTACAACCTTGAGAGAGATTTCACAAAATATCGAACACTGCCCAAGAAAATTCAGTGGGGATTTTCCCAGCTATAGCATTTCTGAGTAAAATTTATGACCTCTTGTACCCAAAGAGATATCGAAAACTTCGACTCTGATAGTAATTCATTATACTTCTTCTGCCATGGGCGATAGGCGACGCGATCTACAACTCAAGCACTCATCCCACCAGCTCCGTGATAAACTGCTCCAGTAACATAGGAACTTTCCTCACCCAACAAGAAGGCAATGATTGAAGCCATTTCCTCTGCAGTGCCGAGTCTTTTCAAGACAATAGAATCATACTCCCCCTCCTGTACATGAGTCTCTCGAGCGTGCCCCATCATTGGTGTATCAATTGGACCAGGAGCTAGAGCATTCACTCGTACATTTCTATCACCGACTTCCATTGCGGCGGTACGGGTAAGCCCAATAACTCCATGTTTGCTAGCGACATAGGGTCCTATTTTCGCAAATCCTATATTGAAACACTTCGTATGAGCACAAAATCAAACATCTTGATGTGATAAAAATGACTAACCGTGCGTGCCAGCAATGGAAGATACATTGACAATACTTCCTCCATTTTCAATTTTTGATAGCTCGGCCCTTAGAGAGTACATCATACCGGTTAAATTAACCGCAATGATCTTGTCCCATTCCTCATCTTCTGGATCTTGGATCTTCCTCACACCATGGTGTTTACCAATAACGCCCGCACAATTGGCAGCACCATCAAGTTTCCCAAACTCGTTCACAATCTCATCAATCCAGCCTTCAACCGATTTACGATTTGAAACATCGACTATCGAGCCCTTAACTTGTGAGGGGAAACTACCCTCCAGGGCAGTTTCAAGAGATGCATTGGATATATCACCGATGCATATGATGGCGCCACGTGAACTGAGGAGCTTGGCTGTAGCAAGACCAATTCCCGATGCACCTCCCGTGATGGCGATTACCTTGCCTTTCATCGACATGGTGGTGGTGTTGAGCTATTAGTTTTATCGGTGGTGGTGTTTGCAAACAGGCTGGATATTGATAAAATGGATGGTGGGAACGAGGAAGTGACATTTAAGAACCAAAAAAGTAGGAATACCAGATGAGGGGTTGTCACCACAGAGGGATGTAACCTTAAGTAATAGTGGGCACTAGGCTATTCATGGCTGTTCAAATGGCAGCTGAAATGAGTCAAGGAGAATTATCATGAGATTGACATTGGCTTCGAGTAGTACTACGCTGAGTATGAGTAGGTAGGTAGTTAAGGAAAGAATTGACTCAGATGATCTTCCTGTACTCCAAGTTGGATATTATATTTGTACCCACCTAGGTAGGTAGGTAGTCTTTGATTCATGTGTTAGACAAGAGGCAGCAACGTATTGAATAGTCGGCTCTTCCAAGCGGTCGACTAGTCCCTGACTATCAACTCATACTCTTAAGTCTGAAGGTTGTCGTCTGAACCGATTCTAAGACATATTGGCGGTGTTGATGGTGTTGGTGATGGTTGAAAGTAGCTCAAATTGAGAGCCCACTTCGTGGAACTCTGGATAAGCATAACTTTATGGATCATCTTCATAAAATCACAAAGAATTATGCAAACAACGCTAGCCCCCGCATTTCCCGTCTCATGACAACATGCTAGAACGTAGAACAGAACAGAACAGGGGAAAAGGTTAAACTAAAAGATGGAGCCGGTTGTTTCGTACCTTGAATCGAGTACGTACCAAGGCTCCTTCCTACCTCCCTCATGTTAAAGAGTAAGTTTGGTCTCATGATTGTCTTTCCATAAGAACAAAGCTCAGTAAGCAATACTGTCTCATCGTTTTCCATCATCAAACTATTTACCATTCTTCATCATAAGTCGGAATAGTTTGTGAATGTTTATATGTTATTTGGCTTCTTCATTCCTTCTTGACTCTTTGGAATTGTCTCTTTCGACGGTATTTTGATGAATACGAGTACATACATATATGCACGCAACATAACATATCAACCATGCGTTGGACAAATTACCTTCAGGCTGCATCTGCAATAGCAGCGACGGTCGCACAAGCTTCTACATTGACCCCGCCAGTGATACCATTAATTGTTCGAAATCCATATTTGAGTGCTTGGTTAGGACATGCAAGAGAGAATCCCTGGGAACATTGGCCTATATTTTGGACAGGTCAAGAGGTATGGAATTGAAGAAGATATCTCCGCCATTAAAGTCTGGTTACTAAGAACCTTACTTGATATAGATTGGATTTTCTGTACTTGCCTCAGTACCAGGCGCTGATACCGTTTATCCATTATTGGGTAGACCTCACGATTCATTGAGTAAATCTGGCGATAGGTAAGTTTGGAAGCTATTGAGATTCAATGTTGAATTGCAAACAGCGACTAATTCCTTTATAGTTTCAATGTATCATATCCGACATTCCTAGGTGCTACTTTTGATGCGTCGACTACAAACCTCACCTATAATATTCCTTCGCCATCGAAATCCCAAGAGCCACTCGAAGTCGTTTTATCATTTCTATCTCCAATTACACCAACCTCTACTTTCCGACAATCAATACCTGCGGCATACGTAACTGTGCATGTCACCGGAGATTTCGATCTCGACGTATACTTGGATATAAATGGATTATGGGTTAGTGGTAATAGGGCCAATGCCATTGATTGGTCATTCAGTCAGAGTGAACCGGAAAATGATAGCAGCGATCCACCACTAAAGATCTGGAAGGCCAAGAGAGTAGTTGAGCAACTGTTCACTGAATGGGGTGACCGTTCAGAATGGGGACAATTACACTTCATAGGCCCAGCTGAAGCCAACCATCAAGCTGGTACGTCTGGTATATTACGAACCAACTTTTCACGAAGCGGGAAATTACAAAATACTGTTGACACCAACTTTCGAGGAATTATGGATGAGGAACCAGTCTTCGCGTTTGCCTATTCATTCAAGCTCAATTCCACTTCTAATTCCACTTCTGCTGGAAGTGGGAAAACATACGCCAGTGCTCTCTTTACCATTGCACATATTCAAAATCCTGTCATTCAATTTGCTTCCGCTCGAGGCTTGACAGCCATGCGTCCATTGTGGGCTTCGTATTATCCGGAAGCCGATGACTTGCTTGAATACCATTATAAAGACTTTCAAACAGCCTTCAATCTCGCAAGCAACTATTCGGATCAGCTTGCGATTGATGCTCTACAATCTGGTTCTGAAGATTACAAGGACATCCTCGCGCTCAGTGCACGTCAAGTATTGGGTGCTGCTTCTTTTGCTGGTACTCCTGATGATCCTGTTATTTTCTTCAAGGAAATCTCTTCTGATGGAAACATGAACACTATTGATGTCATTTACCCCGCTTTCCCATTCTTCTTATATACCAATCCTAGATGGTTGGCATACATGCTGGAGCCTTTAATCGAACACATGCTTAGTGGTCAATATCCAAATGATTACGCCATGCATGATCTTGGGTCATCATTTCCTAATGCAACAGGACATCCAGACGGTAGAGATGAATACATGCCCGTTGAAGAATGTGGTAATATGCTCATCATGGGTTTAGCATTGGTCAACTCACTTAAATATGACACCAAGCCAGCAAGCATCTGGTCCAATCAAGGTGATCACAAAACTGCTCAATTCATTGAAAGTGCTTTCCCACTTTTTGTCGATGCAGATGGTATGGATGATAGTGTTGGGGGTCCCATCGAGGTCAAGGGTGAAAAGCAAGCAAGAAAATGGGTCAAGAAATCATACAAACTATGGAAACAATGGACAGGGTATTTGGTCAGGGAAACTCTCATCCCTAGTAACCAATTGTCAACCGATGACTTTGCGGGGTGGTTAGCCAATCAAACAAACCTTGCACTGAAAGGTATCATAGGAATCAAGGCTATGAGCGAGATTGCTGAAGTGGTTGGTGAAACCGAGGATGCTGTCTTCTACCGCAATATTTCCGAAACCTACATTAAACGATGGGAGGATGAATTTGCCTTTTCCAGGGATGGAACTCATGCTAAATTGGCATATTCTTGGTATGGATCATGGACCATTCTATACAATCTGTTTGCAGATTCATTACTTTGTTTCCACATCCCATCAAGCTCTTCATCTACTCCAAGCATTGGAAACGGTCAAAAACCCATCACTCTTCCTGATCAACAAACTTCAAAGACCGGATTTGTAAGTGACAAGGTTTACAAACTACAGAGTGATTGGTACCACTCAGTTCGACAGAAGTACGGGTTACCTCTTGATAGTCGCCATCTTTATACCAAAAGTGATTGGGAATTCTTTGCAGTTTCAGTTGCTAGTAAGAAAGTTCGCGAAGAAATTGTGGACTCAATTGCATTATGGGTCAATGAGACTACAACAGGTATGTAATTCTGTATTGGCAAGCAAATCATATCTAAATCTAACATTACCACAGATAAACCACTTACAGATTTGTATGACACTGAAGGAACTGGTGGGTTCCCAGGTATTGAGTTTAAGGCTAGACCAGTCGTTGGAGGACATTTCGCATTCTTAGCATTAGAAAGAGCATGTGATGGAAAGGCCGTTGCTGCATTAGACTTCTTGAACGAAGATGAGAAGTTAGATGTATCTGAAGAAGAGATGATGCATAACGAAGAATTGTAGATTATGGGAATATCGTTGGTAGTCAGGTTTCTAGATATCCTTAACATATGAGACTGGTTGAAACCAGGGAAAAGAAAGCACTGCAGGCAGATGCATTTCCTCACCACTGAAAGTTTCGTGGAGAGGCTTATAAATAGAACCAATAAGAATACTGTTGATGTATACTGCAATAGGTTGTAAGATCTTACTATCATTGATTCGCGTTCCTTGATTTCTCCGCTATTCAGCTTTACGTGCAGTACCCTGACCTGGCTGGTGGTAATAAATAATGTTTATAGGAAGGATTGTCAAGTAAGATCTTACAAAGATTGATATGATTGACATACGTATACACATATGACATCAAATGTTAGGCACAGTAAAACTTAAAATCATCCGTATAATTGATTCGATATACTTCTCCCACTCCCACTCCTACGCATAAAGACCTATCGTACCGGTAGACCTACCAGTGATACTTCGTTTTATCAAACAAAGAATAATCATCTCTTGTTGCTTGTAGAACCGTACCTGATTGATGATTGATACACATCTATCTACTGGTACTAGTAGGCTGCCAGGTAAAACCTGATACTTGATACGGCAAATTATTTGTTTTCAGCTTCACCGCGTTATTTAGCTTAGCCGCTGTCGGTTAGTGTTAGCGCTAGACCCAATTTTAAATTCGCGACAACTTCTTTTACTTGACGATCTGACCTTAACGTGCCTCTTCCTTTCAACAACAACTTTCTTCCCATCTTGTTTCTTTATTAATCCATTACTCCCCATCAATAGTATCAAATATTTGCATTCCTGCAATCTCATTTGATATTATTCTTTCTCTTTTCTACAGGTCTTGAGCGTTTACAGAGCTCGAAAATTTGTTTGCGACAGCTCCAGCTTTCAAATCAACAAAACACACCAACCCTTTTTTAACCCATTTCGTGTTTTCGTCCTACAATAACACATCATCATCATGACTTCCACGATGGATTATGAGAATGAGAATGGCACTCGTTACGAAGGTATTTATTTCCATTCTTTCGCATGTTTTGAAGCTTTTCTTGATAATTTTGTATTCGTGTACTAATTGATTTTTTTCACTTTTAGATGAGGCTCCTCGTTACGAGCGTGATCGCAGCGCATCTCCTCGTCCAACCCGTCGCAATGACAGCCCACGTGGAGGACCTCGCCGATCTGCTTCCCCAGACAGAAACGGTCGTGCCGATGAGCGGTTAGTTCATGTGATTACGAATCACACGATAGCATATTCTGACAAATAATCACAGCAGCGGACCTAAGAATGATCGCGGACCAGGACCACAAGACGATGGTGCTGTTAACCCAGGTTCTAACCTTTTCGTCACTGGTATCCACCCACGTCTTCTCGAAGAAGAGGTTTCTCGTCTTTTCGAGAAGTATGGTGATGTTGAGAAGTGCCAAATTATGCGCGATCCTCACACCCGTGAATCTCGTGGCTTTGGTTTCGTCAAGATGATCACTTCTGACCAAGCTGATGCTGCCAAGGAAGGCCTCCAAGGTGAGGTCATCGAAGGCCGCACTTTGAGCATTGAAAAGGCTCGTCGTGCTCGTCCTCGTACCCCAACCCCTGGCAAGTACTTTGGTCCACCAAAGAGAGGTATGTATCTGATTATTCTTTATTTCATCTACACAACTAACGCGTATACAGAGGATCCTCGTGGACCCCCTCGTGGCGGATGGGGTGGAGACCGTTACGACGATCGTCGCCGTGGAGGTGGATATCGGTATGAACCATATGGTGGTGGACGCTATGGTGGCAGAGACGACCGAGACCGAGGTTACAGCCGCCGTGATCGTGACGACTACAACGACGCTCCCCGTGGAATTGATCGTTACGCCGGACCCCGCGATGGTGGCGACCGTTACAGCCGCTCTGGTGATGACCGCCGCGGAGGTGGAGGAGGATATGAGAACCGTGATCGTGGATACGACAGAGGTGGTCGTGATGATAGACCAGCTCGAGACCCGGCTCCCGCTGCTGCCTATGGTGATCAAGCTCCTCGTGGAGATGCTCGAGAGCCATATGGAGGTAGAGCCTACGATGATGACAGACATTCCCGTCGTGAATATTAATTGCTAACCAACATAGGTGGTGAGCGTCCTGCTCGTTAAATCGTACGATCTCGAAGAACGCAGAAGATAGCTTTGGATCTGCGACTTTCATTGATGCGGGTGTACCTCCACCTGTGCTTCTCTTCTCGTTTGTTTTCATCATGGTCCAAGGCTTCGGGCAACGGAAAATGCCAAAAAAAGTGCGCTGGTATACAAATGTTGCGGCGGAATTTCGAGCGAGAACACGATTCCCTTTGATTTCATTTTACAACGGATGCTAGGATTTCTTTCATAATATTCAGGTTTTTCGGTTCGACGTACGGTCATTTGGGCGGAGTTTACAGCAAAGACGATCCTTTAGTATAGGGGTGCGTTCTTCCATGGGACATATCACTGGCTTTTTTCGATCAGCTCCCTCATCACCTCATGTCCTCCTTGTACCACTATTCAGTTGAGACTGAGTTTTTTATCGCAACCAATTTGCCACGGCCCTATACGCCTCGAAGATCTTGTCGACTTCGTTCGTCTTTAGTCGCCATGAACAAAAGAATTCGATACAACTCATACTCACACACTATAATACCCATGACAACATTACAAAAGAATATTTCGCAAAAAAATGCTTTTTCGATACGTATTACATATTGACAGCAAGTTTCAACGTGCTTGTTAATTTCGAAAGAAGATTAATTTCGATTTCACTCAATGTCGCCCATAATGATAATTGCCACCTGTCGTGCTCGCCCCCAATCCGCCCTACTCACAAATTCACAATAGCATTCATTACAAACAAAGAAACACCCATCAATCCCATTTCATAGGCGACTAGTCGTAAAACAACCATGCCTATTGCAGCCATATCACATATATCGCAATGCCACCGAGACCAGTAATCGCTCAAAAATATTTGCATCCGGTCAAGATGCACTCCCATATTCGCAATTCTGAGACTATACGTAGTATCATTCTTGATGCAAACGGTGGTTATCATGAACACGAAATTATTCGCACAAATCCATTCTTGTTGATGAAACAAGAACAAAGAAATGAAAGATTTGAATTAAAGAAATGAAGAAAGCAAGGTAATTCTCCGAATAGTAGAGATAAAGAGCTGACCGATATTATCATGGTTTTTTGTAGGTAAATGTTGGTATTCGCTACTGCATTCCTTCAAGTAAGGGAATGTGGAGTGGCGTTACGCAATGGTTGTATGATGTCTTACCTGAGAAAGTAAATCCCATGGATCGGTTGAGAAATTACATGGGTAATGGAGACACGAGCCATGGCATTACGGGAAAGTTCCCGTCGCTCTCACAAGACTTTTTCCATCGTGGCTGACAAGAAAAAAGGAAAGCAGGTAGGTATTTGAAGGTTTGTGTTGTTTGGTGCATTTATTTTTGCAATTGTTTTTGTTCAGCTGATGTTGCTTTTTGTGTACTCTTGCGTTTGATGCCAGATGTGATTATGCAGGGTTGGTTTAGATTGGGGGACAATGCGGAGTTGAGGAGTTGCGGAGGTGTGAAGGAAGTGCTCTATTGGGTAGTTTGTGCGACGTTGTCTTTTGGTAGGTAATTGTAGAGACATTTTTAGATTTTATAGCTATAGACAATATCATAAGTGTTTTCAATATCCACTTGTTGCTTTGATTGTGACGTCTTTGTTTATTTGAATGGAATAGCAAGTCTTGATATTAGGTAGGTAATTACCAGGCACCTGCATTTCTTCTTGCTGTGAACAGAATCATTAAATTGATCGTATTGTCTGGTTCTCTGTATGCATTCATATCGTACTTTGTATTGTATTGTACGGTTCTCTATACACTCTCTCATGTGGTAGTAAACAAGGTATATCTCATTAGGTACCCTCTTCTCCTTTCCTCCTCTTCCGCCCTGACGCCCCGAGATTAAATAGATACGTATCCAGATGTATATATGTGAGTTTTTGGAAACGCAAGAAAAGAAGGTGAGTGCAGAGATAGATGATAGATGTAGTGAGTGATGTGGTGAGTGATGTGGTGAGTGATGTTTGAGAGGAGAGATGGGAGGGAAGACTTGGATAAATAGATAGATAGGTTGTAGGTAGGTTACAGGTAGGTAGATAGGTTTGTAGGAGATAGGTAGGCAGGTAGTAGGTAGGTATATATATGGCAATAAAAAACGAATGAATAAACCAACCATCGTATCCTGCACCAAACCTAGATGAATGAGCCAATATATCGTAAAAAATCCACAAGTAATCACGGAGAAAGTGGTCTGTGAGTGCAACGAAAATTTTGATGATGATTCAAAGATTTATTAAATTCATCGCTATGCTGTAATGCTATGCTATCCTACTGTATGCAATGCAATACTGTGTACTTATCTCCAGACGAAACAACGCAACATATATATGGGTATCTTACGCCAAAATGCATCCATCCATTCAATGATTCCTCAAAGCCAAAGGACGAAAGGATTCAAACCATCTCCAATCTCTGCTCAATCATACACTCACTGATTTATCTCATCACATACACCTTCCTAGAGCAAATCATGTCTTCGCAATGTTAGCATTTCTTCTTCCAAATCTGATAATGACAGTAAACCCCGTTCATATCAACAAAGGGAAAAGAAAATGTAAAAAGGAATTGAAATCAGAGATGCACAAAGTGCTCGGTTGTATCGCCATAACGAGGTTCTTGAGGCCTCTCAGTAACACGGACCAATTTTGCTCATCATATTGTATGTTGTAGAGAGAAGTGAATTTGGATTGAGTGCGGTACTTACATTTGGTGAATAATGGGTATACGCTGGATGGTATAGCAAAGGTCGATGATTATCTACACATCCATCAAGTTGAAGTGTCTAAGTAGGCAATAACATAATGTCTTCAAATCAGCTACAGAAGTAGCATGAAGACACAACTTGAGGCAGTTGATGTGATGTTGTGTGAAAACAAGTCGAAGAAATTAATTTCTTGAAGAGATTTTATGGTGCGGGTCGTACAATCTCGCTTCTCATTTGTCAGGGCAACGGCCGACCCACTTAAACTTTCAGACTCTACTGTGTACATCGTACAAAGTAAACCAACATGTTGATATTGAAAATGATTGATCAATATTGCCGCCGCCGTTGTATAAAGTGATGTGATTCCGGCGATGAACATTGTAAGCCCGAGATGGATGAGAGTGTATTTGTAAGTTCGCAAGTGAAGGATTTCAAACTATGAATTTGTGTCAGTATATTGAGCATGAGACTTGAAGACGATTGAAACTTACCAATAATCCTCCCTAATTCCTCAATCTCTCTGAGATATAACAAAATGCTCAAATCCCAGTAGAAACTCATTCAGAAGGAGGCTGTAAGTTCTCCCACTGCGTCTTTTGATAAAAGTCCACAACATCCTCATCCATAGCGATTTGTTCCCTGGAGTAACCTGTAACCGTGAGGCCCTCCAACGTCGTTGCCCGTGATAAAGCAACATATAATTGACCTGACTCAAAAATATCTTTTCTTGATACCTCAACATGTTCCATCGTCATACCTTGACTTTTATGAATCGACAAAGCCCAGGCTAAGATGAGTGGTATTTGAGTTCTGCAAGCGAGATATCTATCTTCTACAGTTCCCATCAAAGTCTCTGATGAAACCGGCGCGATTGCAGTTGTTTTACCATCCGTAAACTTCACGACAGGTCTCCAAGGGTTCTTCTCAATAAAATGGTTCATTTGAACTTGTCGCCAATCTGCATGGTCACCCTGGATCACAGCTGCTGGCCATTTTTGTGCATTTACGAATCCGACTATAGTACCCTGAGATCCGTTCACCAAGCCACCTTTTTGTTCTTGGTTGTGAAGTAAAACTACTTTCGCACCAACTTTTAGCGTCAACCTTTTGGGAAAACGATGATATTCCGATATGGCGATTTTGTATTCTTCCACCTTCCTGTTAATCTCGTGCTGACGCAGGTAATCAAGGTCATTTCGATAGAGCTGACATGAATCATCAAGGGCTTCCCAGACCTTTGCTTCTGATTTTATCAAATCCAGTTGAGAATCATTGAACCTGTCAACATCAAAACGCTTTGCCATGAGACGTATAGGAAAAGCATGGGGTGGAAGCACCTTTGGACGTATCAAATCATGCCATTCTGCATCACTCAAGTCAACACCATTGCGAACTTTGTTTAACAGGTCTTTGAACTTCTCGTCCTTTTGTCGATGAATTTGCTCCAACTTGACATGTCTAAACTTAAGCTGTTTCCACACGGGAGCATTGAATGCCCATTTATCACCCGGCTTGAAAGGGATATTATCTGAACGATCTTTGCATAGATTACTCTTACAAACACGGTCAAATGCCCCAGCCATTTCAACTCCACACATGATGCAATGCTCGAATGGTTTCACAGGAGGAAGTTGATAAAAGTCACCCAGAAATATCACTTGAATACCCCCGAAAGGTTTCTTGGTTTGCTTTACCGTCTGGAGAAGTAAATTGAAACGCTCAAGAAATTGGCTTTCAACCATTGAAATTTCTTCCAATATGAGAACTTCTAACTTTCGAAGAGCTTTAATTGTTCTCTTCTTTATGTTATCATCGCCAAGAAGCTGATCAAGGGGCATTTTAAATGAATCTGGTTTCCATCCAGCAACTGAATATGTTGTTCTTCCATTCAAGGGCAGTGCCGCCAATCCAGTAGGAGCAGCAACCTGAACTTTCGGCATATTTGAATTGTTATCCTGTAGCGTTTTCTTTAGCTTTTCTATGATTTGCAGTAGGGTAACCGTTTTCCCAGATCCAGCGGCACCGGTGAGGAAAATATTATCTCTACCCATTGCCATCTTGACGACTGATTTCTGCTCGGTTGTAAGTTCAACGGGCTTAGGAACATCTTCACAGGTTGGAGTGATGTTATCGAAAATTTCTTCATCAGATAACTCAAATTCTGAGTCTGGAATTTCAACATCAGGGTTTAGTGTAGGTGTGCTGTCGCCAGATTTTGCCTTCTTGAACAATGGTGTTTTTCCTCCTTCGGGATCGAGAAGTCTGTCAGTCGACATTGTACGTTCTGGAATTTCTGTAAGGTCAATAAAGGTCTTTTCGGTTGATATAGCACTGACTTCTGCTTCGATCGGCCGAGCAGAGGTTATTACGACACTATCATTGATGTTCATGGAAGCATCTTCATCTTCGTACTTCCTTTTTAGCCCTACCCGTACTTTTAAATGATTGTCAATCGCGGTTCGATTTACAACTCTAGAGATATCTGTAAGATTATGCTCTAATGTATCATGTGGTGCACCTTCAGTAGGCGCAAAGCCTTGAGATTGTAACCACTCATTCCATGCTTTTTGAGCTTCATCATGAGTCTCATAACCTTTGAATTTGGCACCCGAGAAACCTGATGTAGATGCCTCACATTGAGCCCACCCATCAAGAATTCCAGTTGTTCTACCTCGACATACTACAAAGTAGTTCTTTTTCGGTCCTCTTTTACCCATAACGAGCGCTCTGGTTTGGCAAACATCCGTTAAATTTTGTCGTGGATATTCGGTAGACAATCTGTTGGCAAAAAGAGATCAGAAGACTGGCAATCTAATCTTTGGTGCGCGGTAGATAATCTAAAGCGTAGGGTACCTAGTAGGTCAAGAACACCCAACGCAATCATAGAACCACCCAAATTATAGAATCTCTGGATCCAATGGTGTCATAATAGATATGGCACATTCAAGGGAACACGATGATTTTTGAGACAATCTTTTCTAGATTCATGCGCAGGGTAGAAGTTGTAATGGGAGGTTGGTGTCGCAAGTTTGAAGGGGATCTTGGATAGATAATCGCATCGAGCAGCCGATATCAAGAGAAGGTCTAGATTATCCCAAATCAGATCATTAATTGTCAGCAGCATATGATTAGAATGATGACATACCATGTATGAAGGGAGTGAATTGATAATCCGGTAGTTCTGATATGGTTCTCGACCTTCGATATCAAATAATGCTGGCTGGCTGGTGGTATGGGTGCAGATGAAATTGGTGGTTATCAAATTGAGATGAATTCCAAATTCTTTCCATGATAAACTGGTAGATCCTTGGGTAGCCTTGTACATAGCCTTGTACGAAGCCTTGTACGAAGCCTTGTTCAACCAATTTGAGCCCACCAGCCTCGTCCTGAAAAGACTCCGGAAAGTCCGTGCTCCGAAAATACCCTGAAAATAGATTAATTTACCCCTCCTAGTATCTAGGTAGTAGGTACCCGAGTAGAACTGCACTGCTACCTTACCTTACTCCAATGTAACGCCATATTAATTCAAATCCTTTGACATTCCCTTGATCATTCCAACCATTCCACCATGCACAAAATATTTAATATCACACAATCAAGATCCAAAGGAGAAAGTCCATTGTCTATTTTGGAACTCCGGTACTCAAAGGACCTTATCAAGTGTATCCAAGTACCACAGATGATGAAAAAGCGGGTTCTCGGATCGTCCCTTTTATCTTAGACCTTCCTAGAGTTTCTTAGAGGTTCTTAGTATTCCAAATACTCGCAACTTATGGGGTTACATTCCGAATTATTGTGGCTAATGAACAACAATAACACCAATGACAGCAATAGCATCATGAACACCAATAACACCATCGCACAACGTAGCTCTACGCTTAAGTGACGTTATGGCGGGGTGATTGAGTGAATAGTTAATAAGTATGGGACTTCACCCCTCTTCTCATTCTTCTTAAATCATCATTTTACATCCACTCAATACATTCCACCTACAACTTCATACTATCTTACAAACAATCAACCTCTCAATACCAAATACATAAATCGCAATCATGGTCAAGGTCGGAGATTCTATCCCAACTGTCGAGCTCGCTGAGGGCAACCCAGGCCAAAAGGTCAACATTGCTGCCGAGATTGGTGAAGGTTCTGGTATTATCATCGGTGTTCCAGCAGCTTTCAGTCCAACATGCTCTGACTCCCACGTTCCTGGCTATATCCTTCACCCAAAGCTTGAGTCCGCAGGAAAGGTCTTTGTTGTATCCGTCAACGATGCTTTCGTGTAAGAACACCCCCAACTCCGCAACTCCGACCCCACATCCTTGAGGCTGAACTTGGCTAACTTCCTTACGAACAGTATGAACGCATGGGGCAAGTCTCTTGACGCAGACAAGAAGAGTGGTATCCGCTTCCTTGGTGATCAAGACGGAAGCTTCACTCGGGCTTGGGATCTTGAATTCCCAGCTGCTCCATTATTGGGCACAAACCGAAGCAAGAGATACGCAATTGTTATTGAGGGTGGTAAAGTCAAGAGTGTCAACATTGAGCCAGATAACATTGGACACACTGGTATGTGTAAAGGCTAGCCTGTACTTGAACAAATATGCTAACAGCTATCCCCTAGTCTCCGGCGCTGATAAGATTCTTGGAGAGTAAGGAATGGGTTAATGAATGGTTTGGTTTGAATAACAGCTTATATGTCACATAGACACACGGTCAAACATCGTGAGGGGAAACTTTGAGATTTGGGTTATGATAGTTACAATTGAAGAATCTTTTTGAAAACATATGGGATCTTTTGTTCATGTCAAATGTTGATGTCTTATAAGGGGGTTGGGGCTGAGGAGTACCTGGGCAGGGTGCAACTACATGTCTGCCAACACAGCCCTCGACATCTAAATTTCCCTGTTCCAACATCAACAACTCATGCTAGATAGCATCACCACACCGCAGTATCAGCACATCGACATGAATTATCTACCGCTGGTCCTTGACAACTCCTCTCTTGTTGGTGTCAGCCTCCAGTAGAAACTCCAACAAGTTGCACTGTTCCACACCGGCAGTGACTGCAATCGCCATGTAGTCCACATTGGTGATATGAGGTTTTACAACCACTAAACTCTAGCCTCAAGCTTTTCAGTAAATCGATTATTCTTCATGCATGAAATATTGCCGGATTAATGGCTTTTCATGCTAACCATCTGTATATTTTAAGAGCTCTGGCTGTTTGGAGGAAACCTTAATGAAGAAAAGTCTTTCATTTAATTTCATAGATTCAATGCTTTATTGATTCTTTTCTTGAATCTATTGAGGTTAAAATCCCGACGGCCGGAATAATTTTCATGATATATTCTAGAAAGAGAGAGTTGCTACAGGGAACCAGGGAGTTTGAAAACTAGATAAGGCTTAGTTGTATCGTATTGTTGTGGAAGTCCACATCGCCTTTAATCTATGCTGCCACTTCCAGATGAACTCTTTTGTGAATAAGGTTATTCTATACGAACAGCTCTAGATATAGCAAATTCAATGTTCTCTCGCATTCTAGATGAATTGTGGAATGCTTCTCGATCGGTGTGTACACAATTGAAAAAATCTACTATGTATACATCCTTATCCTAGCAAGGTTTAAGGGTATCACCGAATCAGCTCGGTGTAGGGATGTATATATGTATATTATAGGGAAAATATGGAATCATCTTTCAAGGTGACATTCTGCTTTCAAGTATCTATCCATGAGTTGAGGCTGTGCCAAGACATCCAGGAGTTTTGTTGGGGTGAAGACACTTATATCAATATGGGATCGAGATATAGGGTAACGAGGCAGTGAGACTTTTTGAAGCAGAAGGCTAAACGATCTGACGAATAGATACATGTTGTTTATATTGCGAACATCATATTCAAATGAATTCAATGTTTCCATCGACCCATTATCCCTTCCCCTGAATCAATCTCCTAAACATCGGATGGACCCACCCACGTGTTTCATCGGCCCGTCGCCGCTACACCTCCCTACCGGCAATTCGACAAACCCCGGATCGCTGAACCCTCCTCCTAGGTTCTCACATTATTTCCCCGATGAGAGTGGATGTGAGATGGATACTTTGTTTATTGCATGTTGATTTCACTCTATTTCAGATTGCTTCTTGCGTCGTTCTGGACCTTTAATCTATCTCCAAAAGTACAAATATGTCTTGATTTCTCGTTTCTGTTGTATCGTTCATCATCTCAAATCATCTCTCTCTTTACCTTCAGGATATAACATAAATCTCCAAAGAAAATCATCATGCGTTTCTTCACTTCCATCCTCAGCATTGCTGCTTTCAGCACTCTCGCAACCGCAACCCTCGATCCCGCTACCACCAACACAAAGGGTTACTACCCAGGATCTCCAGGTTGCACAGGTAGATAATCTTCCTCCCATCCAAACATCAAATCAAACCACTAACCCCCTCCCCAGCCACCAAAGTCTCCAAAGCCATCCAAGCCGCCGAATGCGCATACAACACCCGTGTCTCCGGTGTCCAAACCTTCGCCGTCTTCCAACAAGATCATCAATATGACAGCGCCCACGGTGCTCCCTATGGAACCTGTTCCGCATACAAGTGTACTGCGCCTACCAAGTCGGAGTTGAAGGCCGGAGCCGATTACTGGACCTTTTACTGGGGAAGTGAGGGAACGAGCAAAGGAGTGGGAACAACTTGTATCAAGAGTCCCGTGGATGGTACATGTGGGTGTGAGAACTCGACTGGAAAGTTTGTTTATGGCGGAAAGAACTGTGTTTAAAGAGATAGAGATGTATGGGAGAAGGTGAAGGGGAAGAAGGAGCGGAGGACTTGAGGAATGTGGTTGAGGGGATGAAGAGGTGAAGAAGGGGTTTGTTTGCTTAGCTTTGTATATATTTTATTCACGCACCGACAATGAATTTTCTCCATGCTTACTCGATACGCGAATTTCTCTATTTGTTATCCTCGTGCTACCCATCACCTCACACTCTCCATCCACAATGCGATCACGCGTTTTCCAAACCCATATGTCTCACTCCTCACCCTCTCATTCGATTCGATATGCATCCCGGCCCCACTTCCCACCACATCCACATCATCACCGCTAGAACGAAATCCTCCAACGCACGCACGCACGAACAGCGTGGAACGCCGAATTGGCGTTTGTTGCATATCTGCAGGATACCACCTTCTTTTGTGAGTTTCTGGAATGGGTAGGGAAGGTGTTGATCTTTGGGATTTGGGTTGGATTGGCTTGTTTTGGGCGGGGGGAGGGGGGGAGATGGAATGAGCGTTTTGTTGCGTGTCTGGTGAGTGTTACCTTGAGAATTGGAGTACTGGGATGGGAATGGTTGGTTGGATGGATCGATTGTGGATGGATGGATATTCAGATGTGTTTTATTTTGGGGAAGGACAACAGTTTTGCGGAGCTTTAGGATGGGGATGTATTGCGTCGTGGTTACCAGGGAGAAATGACTGCTTTTGTTGCGTATCTCTAAATGCTACGTTCGTTCCTTGCTCCTGTGATTGGGGAGGCGGTGGTGAGCTCAGATTGTCTTGGGATGGAGATCTATTCCTGGATAAGGATTGAGATGAAGATCCTTTGCTGGAGGTTTTGAGAAGAGGTTTTGTTGCATGTCTGGTGAATACTACCTTCTTCTATGAATTGCCCGGATGGGGTATGTTGAGTGGAGATTTGGGGATCGGCTGGTGAGACATTTCTTGATGTGATATATATAGATGGATACTTTGCCCCGTTTTTTGGGGATGAAGAGGAATTGTTGCATGTCTGATGAATGCTACCTTCTTCCATAAACTGTCCAGATTGGGTATGTAGAGCGGGGATTTTGGAGACCAAGAGGTGAGACATTTCTCGATGTGATATAGATGGATCCTTTGCCCCATTCTTTGGGAATGAGAAGCAATTGTTGCATATCTGATGACTGCTACCTTCATCCTTTTCATCCCATCTTTAACGCTGGGATGGAATTGTTGCACATCTGATGAATGCTACCTTCTTCCACCCTTTACCTAAATCCAGAATACCAAGCAAAATCGCGGCAGCAGTAGTATTGACACCTTCGTATCTTCCATTCAGATTAAGATGACATAACCATCTCGATAAATTCTCCCCTCCTCCCAGATTCCAACAACCAAACCATCTTGTCCACCTGACCAACACCACTTTCCCTATCTTCTACATCTCAGATGCCAAGTGCCAATATCAACAAGCACATGATAGTCACATAATCCTACCCAAGCCTTTCCATCTCTCTGCATACTTCACAGCGCTTCCCATGACCGAGAAGGATTTGTTGCATATCTGATCAATGCTACCTCCTCGGTTTGCGTGAGCATTTTGGGTTAGGGTGTGCAATACTGCTGGGTGGAAGATCTGAGGATGGTCTGTGAGTGTGAATTTTGTGAGATGATCATGGACCCGAGTCTGAAGGATTGCTGAAGAATGGGGGATCGTGATGACGGTGATGATGACTGCAAGAGTGAAAAGGTGGGGGGAGGGGGCGTGGGCGCTTAAATTTTTGTATTTGGAATTTTGCGAGACTTTGGGGTTTTAGCCGCTTGTGATTATAAGTCGGATACCCACCCCACTTTCGGGCCACCCCTCTTTTAGGCCACCTCAAAAAAGCTCACCACAAGGAGGTATTTTTTCTATTCATTCTTTAATAACTTTATAATACTTTTATTAATTAATTTGAAGATTTAATATATTATTAATTATATTATATCTAAACTATATATAGAAAACAATATTAATATAGTTTTACATATAATAATAAATAGGCATTCAATATAAAAAGCTATTTTGGATTTTGGGATTCCAAGAATTATTCTTCAAAATTGTATAAAAGACCATCTATCTTATCAAAAAGATATATAAAGTATACAAAAGATAACTTCAATATAAAAGAAACAATTAACAGATTAAATATTAATTCAAGAATCTTTAGATATTAGTTCTATATATCATCAAATTTGTAAAATTGAGAAGTATCTTCTCAGTATTAGAAAAAGTAATTTTATACTTAGAAAATAATAAATACAAAACTTTTTTTAAAGAAATCTAAAGATTAGAATTAAAAGACAAATTAAGATTGATTTAGTATATATTAAAAATACAATTACCAATATTATTAAAAACTGATTTTCAAAATTGGATTTATTCTTGATTTATTATTAAATCCGAAAATTAATATAATATAAATAAAATAGACATATAAGAAGACTAGGGATTAAATGGATTAATCTTAGAAAACTCTGAATATTGTTTTATTTAGAAAAAATAATCTGGTTTTAAAGCTTGAATATTATTTATAGAATATATTTTAATTGTAAATATAGCTTTTACTCTTCTTATTATTTATTAAAAAAAGTCAATACAACAATAATAGTTTCTAATAGATTTGATACTCTATATAGAATAAGAATTCATTATTACAGAAAATAAATGGACTACAAATAATACTAATCCAGAATAATTCAAAAGAATCTTTATTCCTTAAATAATCCTTTTTTTATTGAATGAGTTTAGACTTTTTATATTAAATGGATATGGTAATTATAAAATTATTGAATTTATGTATAAATACTTTAAGCATAATATATACTTTTTATTTCTATTATTATATATATTATATATTCTATAATCTTTTGATTTATTTATATTTTTATCTTTCAAAAAAATATATAGATTGTCACGGTCATGGACTAAAGGGCTCCATTAGGCATGTGATAGTAAGCCCTCGGGCTTACCGTGTGCCGAAGGGAGCCCGCACACACATATAAATTGTATAGTTTTCATAAGTTTAGAAGAATTAATGAAAAGTCTTTGTGCTACATTTCACCTAATTGATTCATTGCTAGTATCTACTCTAACATAGATATTATTTCAATAAATTAGCTTTTTTATTAGATTTTGAATCAATTAGGAAGATCAATTTCCTTATTCATTATCAAAAAGTATAAATAAATGCTTTAACGAAGTATAATATATTAACTAAATAAAAAGCTTTAGGTTTATAGTTTATAAATCGCATTAAGCCTATTATATTCAAATTATTACTTGAGAATAATAATAAAGAGATTATAAATCAGAACTTAGACTTTAATAATAATTCTATATATTAATTGAATAGAAAATCATTAATTTTAATTTTTAAAATATCTGAAAAGATAGATATTTATATATATTATTAGCTTTTTTAGAAAAATTACTAAGGGATTTAATACTAAGGACTTTAAATTTATACAATCTGAGTATCGAATAAAGCAAATAAAGTATTAATTGAAATAGTCTATTCCTAAGAAGAAATATAAAGTGAAAACTAGTCCAAATTCGAAGTTTTCTAAAATCATAGCTATTAGAGAGGCATAAATTAAAACAAAAGATTGTGAAATTGATATAAGGTATTTTAATAATAATAATGAAAATGTATTTTCAAGCATTTATTATAATACTGAGTAGTTAACGTAGTTTATTAGTGCATACATTATATCAGTATGTGTATCACTTTTACCTCAATTTATACTTTCAAATCTATATTATTCAATAATAATTGAATTAATTGATTAAAACTATTCAGAATCTAATAATCTAGAATCTATTATATTATTTTAATAGGTTTTTATATTATAATCTGTTTTTCTGTATTTATTATAATATTAAATAAAAGATATTTTCTTATTGGATTTATTGTTTTTTTAATATTTATTATATTGAATCTAAATATCAATCTTTTATTAAAATAATATATCAAGAGTTTTTTATTTAATAAGTATTCTTTTTTAATATAATTAAGTTTTTTTTATATATTAATATTTATTTAATATTTTATTTATTAGTTGAAATATATAAATCTTTATATTCAAAGATTTATTTTCATAAACTAATTATTCTATATTTTCAATTAAAATTAATATAATCTCAAATATAAATATAAATAAACTTAATTGATAATAAGTTATTTGAGATTTAATTAATATTAATTAAAAAAGAGCTTTAATTGAATTATAAGAGATTTAAGAGATTTATTAATTTAAATTGAAAAAGAGAGAAGTAGATATACAAATTCGAATATCTAATTTCGAGAATATAGCTTTAGAATTAAATAGAATTAAATTTATTCTTTAAAATCCTGATTTTATATTCTAAAAAATAATTGATTTCTTATATATAGTTTTAGAAGCTATAAGGAATTCAATCTTTAAAATATAATTAATATATATATTTATAAATCTATTAATTTAATTATTATATAAACATTTTAGATTATTAAAATAATTTATATTAAATAATTGAATTAAATAATTTGAATATAATAATAAATATATATATTTAATATTATTTTTCTGATAATAATTCTAAAATAATATTAATTTATAGCTTTTATATTTATTTAGTATTAATATTCAATATTTACTCTTTTTTCGATTTTTAATATATTTATTAAAATATTTCAATTATTCTAAATCTATTTTATTATTTATTTATTTATTAAATATAGATTTAATAATCTAATTTATAAGAAGATTGGTTTTGGTATATTAATTGAAAAAATGAATCTATTCTTGAATTATTAGAAATAAAAGAATAGTTTTATTTTCTTTATTCCTATATATTATTACTATAGTTTGTTCTTGATTACTTAATTATACTAATTTGCTTCTATTATATCTCTTAATATTAATAATAATTATTATTATATATATAATTTCTATTATAAAGTTTATTTCATTGAAATTATAGAAATCTTTATTTAAAATACTATGTTTTATTTATATATTCGCAATTAATTAAAACCACTTTTCAAAAAACTTAGAATTCTTATAGAAAGCTTTTTGAAAGTTATAAATATAATTGAAATATATCTTTAATTCTTTATATTATTTTATCAATCAATATACTCAAAGCTTTTTAATAGCTATTTTTTTCAATTCAAGAATATAATTTATTATATTTTTTATTTCTTTAAGTTTAAAAGGAAAACCTCTCGAATTTATATTAAGAATAACGTAGTTTAACACCGAGTGAGCCATATCATTAAATGGGCCATTTCAAAATACATCAAAATTAATGCTTTTTTAATATTTATATTTTAATAATCAATTATTATTTTTTAAAAGAAAATTAATATAAAATAATAATAAGAATCTAGCTTTTTATAAATCTAGTTGTGATATAAAAATTT